ATTTTTCAAAGATATATACATCTTTCTAATCTGACTGAACCCCAGCCGGTAGATTATCGACCGTTGCTATTTTTATTTCCTAATTAAATGTTAAATAATCAATTTGAGTACAGTTTATCGTGGAATAAGTCGTGGACAATTTTATATTTTAGCGAAAAATGCAAATGACACATTAAAATTGTCAGCCATCTTTGTAGACGCTACAAAATTTTAGAAAATGTAAATGACGCACAGGGTCTTTAACATCCCAAACTTAGGCTGCCTATCTACAGCTAGCTCCGGCTGAGTGCAGTATGGGTCTTTAAAATATGGAAATGACGGCATCCCCACCCTTTGGCTAGCCAATTGTTCTTCTATAAGTTTAAAAGAGTTTTACCGCTCAACCCACGCGGATGTACATGTATATTACCTTGGGCTCGACATTTCAGATTCTTCTAAGTTTGAGAATTTGTGTTGAATGTTTAAGATCTAAGTCTATTTACACAGTACAGTGAACCATGGAGGAGTACGTGTGGCCTAATTTACAAACTTTCCAATCTAAATCTTCAGTCGTTGACATTAGCATTAGACTGTATTCACTGTCAACTTGATTCAGTTGACCCAACGTACACAACGTTACCTTTATCGTGAAAGGCCAATGCGTATTTTATTTTGATGCCTGAGTGCAGTGTTAAAGGGCGCATGACCTTATTATTTGTAACCTTAAAAAAGACGGATTCTAAAAGTACATAATGTAATATGAATGTATATGAAGTGATGTATATTTAATTTTTAAAATTTGTATTGTATATGAAGTGATGTATATTTAATTTTTAAAATTTGTATTGTAATTTCTAATTAACTATGTTCGGTTAAATTGAACGGTAGTCGTTTACGGCGGCTTAGTCCATTCAACAAGATTTTTTTAAAAAAGATTATTATTTTGTCGTTTGTGAATCAGCCGTTACCAATTACTTCTGCATTGTCTTGTAGGGTATGTTTTTCTTTGTTCATTACAAATGGGGCCCGAAATACACGACGCGTGTATTGATTTTAAACGTTCATTATGTCTTAGATATTGGATATTAGGATCCTAAATTGAGTTTGTGGTTTAGCTCCTTTAAGCAGGTGAATATATATATTATTCTTCAATAACCAAAATGACTAAAACTTAATTGCTTTTGATGTTTTGTTTTGTTTTGTGAAGTAAGAATTCCAGTCTGAATAAAACACAAATCCAATTTCCTTTCGTTTTTTTATAGTTCAAAATTTCGTTTTATTTGTCTATACTACACTATAGTTGTTATTTTACCGGCGTTCTGATTGAAGTGAAGGATTAGCCAATGAAACGGTCTGTTACGGCGAGTTCTTGGCGTTTGATGCACGGAAATGTGAGTAAAGCAGTAGAAACGCCAACGCTGATTGATTAATCAATGCCTGACGTCATAGGGTCAAAAGCCGCCCGTAAGACCTCTAACGCGACCTTCCAGTACAATCGGTCAGATCTTCATGTAGTGTAGGCCATCGAAAGTATATAAAAAAAACGAAACGAATATAAATCTGTATTAATCAGATTGTAGGAATTATGTCTAAGTTACAACCCGCTTATTAAGTCAAAGTTAAGATATGATTCATTTTGTGTTCATACGGAACTAAAATATATAACTGCCGAAATAGAAATTTAATGGTCTGGCGCGTGCGCTTTAGATTACAATGTCTGTCATTGAGTCAGGTAGCGTGGTTTCGATTTCTCCAGCTTGTACATGACAAGGAGTATGGACGTCTGTCCCACCTCGTGGGTTTCTGGCTCTTCCGGTTTCCTCCCACTGCTAAAGAATTATTAAGTAAAATTAAACCGTATCTTGTCCCGAAACGACCTAGTTTGTGTCAAATGGACGTTATTCACTAGTCTTCTCTCTTAGCTTAATAGTGCATAGTTTCTATTATCATTATCAATTGATACAAGCAATGAGGCTTCTCTCTATTCTGAAAGTCGACCAAGAAAGTTTATCGGGCTTTTGCAACGTGGTTTCCCCTTGTAAGAGGTTTTTGGGAGCAGTGTTTAGTCATTTGCAATTCGAATAAGCCTAGGCAGACACGCCGCATGACAAACTGCATGTTGTATGCCCGTTTCATTAGCCCTGTCGCTAAACCCCCTTTCAGTCGGATGCGATAACCTTGGAGACGAATCATGGTCCACCATTTAACATAATAACTTTATACATGACCGTTATCATGAAGATTCCTGATTTTATGGTAGTCGTATGTACAATTAATTTAACGGTTGATCTATTCTCTGATAAAATAAATCCTGTGCTATGTAAAGTGATTTTTACGGATCTCCCAAAAAGGAAAGTGTCGCCGCGAAGCTTATAAGAGTTATCTCCCTTAGGCAATTTTCATGGCTAAAGTCGCGTTACTCTGTAACTTCCGATGCCGATACAAACCGTAAGTAGAAAGATAAAAGTTTTTATCTTTTATAGGCCTATTAGTGCCAGTATCTGATGAAATTAAACTTCGATGATTAGGTTATGAAATAACATCTCTTGAATTGTGTTTCTGATTTGATTGAACACCAATTTGTTCAAGTTGATCTGCGTTAAATTACTGACGATTGAATTTAAAAATAGAAATAAACAAACAGTACAGATCCTCAGCAGATATCCATGCATTCCGCTATTTCCAATGGCAACGACCAAAACACCAGGGATTAAACTCAAATCTAGGGCATGAATTAATACATCATCAACGGCAAAGCTACTGACTGAACCAAAATGGAATTCCCCACCACGAAGTCAGAGAAGAGGTATATAAAAATGAAGTCAGTAATATTTAAACTCGAGACACGACAGGACAGGACAGGACAGGACAACCTAGGCGTTACTAGATCTACAAACAATCACACACCACACCACACCACACCACACCACATATTTACATCCATATACTAAATTGCTTACACTATCAATTTATCAACTTAACAAAATAACAAACTATTTTGATATCGTATGTGCCATAAATCAAATAAGTGCCATTAGTTTCACACCCATACGGCTACCAATTAAAGATCTTGAATGTAGGCTCTATTTGTTTCTCAAAACTGAGTTATTGACAATTCTATAACAATTTTGGTCATTTTGAGACTAACAAAGGTAATTTTCATTAATGGTTACGTCTGCAATGCAAGGGATGGGGGATTTTGCCTTGACAGTGAGGTTTCTTTTATTTCCAGCTGTGGAGATCATGGGTTCTTTTATGTGCAAGACATACTGTACATGAGTGGATCTGGTGTTTTGTCACATCAATTGTCTCACTTGTCTCACAGATCAAATACAGCCTAGGTGGGTTGTTCAAGATCTAGGTCATCAAATACAGCCTATGCTGTTAGTTCAAGATCTAGCTGATATACATCCTAATGGGTTGTTCAAGATCTAGGTCATCAAATGCAACCTATGCTGGTCTTCAAGGTCTAGGTCGGGGGGTTGGATGGCTGAATGGTCAGCATGTGCTTGTAGCATCATAATTCATAAGGCCTGTCATTGGGTCAACTGACGTGGTTTCGAATCCCCGGTTGTACATGACAAGGAGTAGGGTCGTCTGTCCAACCTCGTGGGTTTTTTCCGGGTCCTCCGGTTTCCTCCCACTGCTAAAGACCCCTACGTGCAAGCGAATTATTGAAATAAAATTAAACCATATGTTAGTCCCGAAATGACCTAGTTTGTGTCAAGTGGATGTTAAACCCCATCTATAGGTCATCAAATACAGCCTATGCTGTTAGTTCAAGATCTAGGTCATTAAATATAGCCTATGCTGGTTGTTCAAGATCTAGGTTATCAAATAAAGCCTAGCTAGATGAAATAAAGCCATATTTTAGCTTGTTGAGTAACTATTAAAGTCAGATAAATATATATTATAGTCAGATGAATAATTGTAACAGTCAGATATATAAAAACAATAGTCAGGTACATGTAGATACAAATAACAGTCAGATATATATATATAACAGTCAACAGATAGATAAACATGATAGTCAGATAACAGTTAGATAGATAAACATGATAATCAGATAAATAAATACAGGCCTACCAGTGAGATACCAGTCAGATAAATATATAAAACAGTCTGATAAATCCATATAAAGTCAGATAAATACATATAACAGTCAGATAAATAAATATAATTGATAAAGAAATATATAATATAGTAGTGTAATAAATAGATATAATACTCTGAATCTGAATAATAGTCAAGTAAATATAATAGTCAGATAAATAATGATAAATAAAGAATATTAAGACTTTGTTTTTAGTACACCATAGATATACCTTAATGTGAATAACATTCCAAGGTACATGTATTTGTTGAAAGAATGCTACACTTTATTTAAACTGTGGGATGTTAGCGTGCTATGCATGGGTAATTAAACTCTATAGGTGTGAGATGTGAGATTGGTTCACTGTTTTCCCGGCTTTTGTACAATTTGTAATTATCACTATTGCTTCAGTTATTTTGGTGTAGATTTTCTATGTATTTTTTTACCTTTTATCTCAAGTGTTGGTTGTTAAATGATCAAAGCGTTCGTACACTTTACCAGTTTAAGGCTCCTCTGCAAGTCGTAATAGGTGACAATAAGCGTTTGGACACACAGAGGGGTATGATTTTTTTTTCTCAGAGGGCGGGATGTTGACTAATCTGCTTTGATATTTAGGATTATCTGTGATGTAATTCATAAAGAACTGTTTGTTCTATATTATGTTGAGATTGTGTTGTATTCATGTACTATTTGTTCTATATTATGTTGAGATTGTGTTGTATTCATGTACTGTTTGTTCTATGTTATGTTCGGATTATCTAAGCTGTAGTCATTTTTTTTCTACTGCTAAAGACTTCTACGAAATAAAATTGAATTATATGTTAGTCATGAAATGACCTAGTTTGTGTGGAGTAGACTTTAAACCCCATTTCTATTTTATATTTTGTATATCATTTAGAAATTTAATTTCTTTTTTCTTCTTTTTCAGTTCATTTACTGAACCAGTGTATCAAACATCACCATATTTGGAAAAAGCGAATGAAGACGGAGAACTCTTCTGTGTGGAGGTAGATAGAGCTGTGATAAAAGACACTGACAGCGATGTGACTGGTGATCTATGGGGAGATAACCAATCGGTCAATAGTCGGTTTCCGTGTTCGAACAGTGAGGATACAGGTTACTCAAGTGACACCGATTTACAGCCAGCCCCCAAAACAGAAAAATCTTCGAAAAAAATCAATAAGTTTTCTCGGCTGTTGAAGAAAAAGGAGTTACGTCTTTTTAGTGAGTCAAATATCGATGACAGCATAGACAGTTCGAACTGTGATTGTGCCGACTGTAAAACGGTTGCCATGACAAATGTTAAAAATGTGCTATTATTGGTTGATCCGAATTCTAAACGCCACGCCCGAGGAGATGAAGTTTGTGTTACACGAAGTATATGTGAACATGTTTTAGGTATAATACCTGGTTACCATGGACAACAGTTTTCGTATAATGGAGTACAGGAACCTGTTTATATAAAAGCTCTTTCACCAGACGGACCAGCTATCAAGGTCAAAGATGTCAGAATAGGTTAGTGCTCACATAGAATGATGATAGGTTGACATATCTATACTTTATATATACAGGTCACAATTCTATGGAATACAATTACTGCTTATAACTGAGCGACGTTTCGACTAGGCTTCTCTAGTCATTATCAAGCCTCGTCGAAACGTCGCTCAGTTATAAGCAGTAATTGTATTCCATAGAATTGTGACCTGTATACTCCAGTTCGATTACTAAATGCCACTGAAACAATTTATCTATACTTTGTATGATAATTTTTACTTGACAAACTCTGTGATGTCCAGACTTGCTTATGGATAAATATCTTTTTTTACAAATAAATATATTTATTTGTTAAAAAAAATATATTTGTCCATATATATATATGACACAAACAGATTTACATGTATATACATAATCTTTATTAGTTAGTTAAAATCGTTAGTAATCAGATCAGAGGGAGGGGGGGGGGTGGATGGCCGAATGGTTAGCATGTGCGCACTGTATCATAAGGCCTATACCGTTTTTTAGGACTTCGAATTTTGTCTAATGGTTTGGATTGTTCGTACTTGGTTTTATTTCTATTGACTCAACCAACATGGTTTCGATTCCCCAGTTGTACGTGACAAGGAGTCCTCCATTTTCCTCCAACTGCAAAAGACCACTACGCGCAAGCAAATTATTGAAATAAAATTAAAACCATGTTTAAGTCCCAAAATGACCTAGTTTGTGTCGAGTGGACGTTAAACCACATTTCTCTCTCTCTCTCTCTCTCTCTCTCTCTCTCTCTTACATGTAGTAATCAGGCAGTAGTCATTACACTAGGTTGTGTCACTAAGGTGTTAAGATGTACAGCACATTGAAGGGTATCCACCACTATTGGTTAGGTTTGTTTATTTAATTAATTACGCTTTTATACTAAAAGTGCCATCTTTTACAGCTAGTTACACATCTGCTAGTTAATTAGTGCTGGATATTGCCACTGCAGTCATGATATGATACATGTATGGATTGCGATTTATGTGCTACGATATGATTCATATCACGATTCATTACCAAGTCAATATTTACCAAGAAAACAACAGGATGGCGTTAATTTTTAGTCCTGCTGATGTAATAAAAATAAAACTGATTTATATCCCGATTTTAACGTGTATCAAAATGTTACAATATTAACTAGAAAGCTACACAGTTATAGAAGTCTGAAAGATTACCAAGTAACAATCCATAAAAAGTAACCAAGTAGGCCTAGTCAATATTTACATGAAGCAAGTGTTATAATCTTTCAGATGTCAATGTACAATGTCAATGTACAATGTCAATGTCAATGTGTACATCTAATACGGTTCCGAAAATGAAATGTAATTAATATTGGATTTGAATCAGATTTATTGATAAATTGATGTGATATATTTGTAGTGATTGGTTAATATATTTATTTGTATTGTAACAGGTGATTGGTTGAAGTGTATTAACGGACATGAAGTAACAAGAAATAATCTAGATATTTTATTATCAACGATATCATCAACTTGTAACGTGAGTAGGTTTTTGATGGCAGAAATGTAGAATTAAGACATTATTAAGCATGTGTTTATTACATTGTACATACATACATGTACACCTTACTAGAGACTCCCATTTTCCTGTCCACGGCGACTCAGTGAGTAAGATGCTAACTCACTTACCATAAGGCTCTGAGGTCAAATCTGATGGCGATGATAGCCAAGCAAGAAAGTTCCTCTGAAGTTTTTTTAAACATGAATTCCCCTTGCCAGGCAGTCAGTATATATGTAAAAGACTCCTTGGCTGCTAGAATCAAATGCTACAGTCATTGCAACATTTTCCTCGCAGCACACTGGAATTAAGTTTATGTCTGACATTATTCCTAGGTCTTATTCCAAAGCTTTTTCCCTTCACTTATTTAATTTATTGATGAATTTGCTCTCTAAATTTTTTATTGCTTCAGGTCAGAATAACACTACAATCGATGCCTGCTTTACAATCAATATATCGACCTCGACCTTTAACCTCTGACACAGATCAACTAGTTTCTATGGTAACGGGTGATGATGTAGATGAGGAGGGGTGTGTTAGCAATGGGTCATATGTTTTATACACATCACTAGAGGGCGTTCAGTCTGAGAACAGTAAAGATAAGGTAAGCTGGAATATCCTCATTCTTTATACATTGTAGGGGCAGCCTGGAGGTACTGGTTTCGATCCCAGTGTTGGCCGAGAAAGTCCGGAGCTGAGCATTTAGTTAAAATTCATTTTATTTCATTTCATTTCATTTCATTTGTTTATAGGGAGGAGGCTCTGCATCTCAGTGAGAAAGACACTAGCTCGCTAACCAGGAACTCTTGGATTCTCACCCGGTGTTGGCCAAGAACGTTCCTGAGAATTTTTCAGACATTATATCACAATTTTCAAAGCACCTGTCACAGACATTGTCAGATGCAAATTATTACACAATGTATATATTATAGTAAGAATGTTATGTGATAATTTGTCCCATTCGAATAACTAGACAGCTGTCCTGCACCACTCACAAGGGGAAACCACTCCGAAAAATCCTGATAAACTTTCTTGGCAAACACTGGGACCGGGTTCAGAAATGATTTATGGTAGTTTGTATTGAGTGAACATAAAACCCCATTATATACAAAGTTTTACAACAGGCAGTGTGCAATATGTTATGACATGATCTAGTCTATAATTACCCTGATAATGAAGACTACTACTGACTGTGGTTATATTTTTCAGGATGATCTAGTCTATCACTACCCTGATAACGAAGGCTTACTATTGGCGATGCGAGGAATGTTTTATACTCTATGTCATACAGTTAAAGATTTTACACATACCAGTATTCAAACGTAAGTATTAAAGCCCTATTCACACTTCACATTATTGTAGTCATATTTAGATCCATAGGAAAACAAACAAGCCTGAGTATTAAGCCCAATTCACAGTTCACACTTATTGGTCATATTCAGAGCAAAAGGTAAACAAACAAGCCTGAGTATTAAGCCCTATTCACAGTTCACAATTATTGGTTATATTCAGAGCAATAGGTAAACAAACAAGCCTGAGTATTAAGCCCTATTCACAGTTCACAATTATTGGTTATATTCAGAGCAATAGGTAAACAAACAAGCCTGAGTATTAAGCCCTATTCACAGTTCACAATTATTGGTCATATCCAGAGCAATACATGTACGTAAACAAACGGAAATAATGATTTTTGTTGGCACACAGAATCCAGTGATTATTTTTTTCATAATAGTTGATATTATAAAGTTTTGAATATATTTGTTATTCCATTAAAGCCTCTGATCATCATTTGCATATTTTGAAAAATATCTAAATCTTCAGGGCTTAATCCACGCCAAGATATACTCAAGTTCATTACTTAACTTTAAACCCGATTTATATTTTCATGTTGTTTTGTTTTGTTTTCAGTTCGTGTATTGTTATAGAAGGAGAAGTTTATAATATCTGTTATCATATGGAAGGAGAAGATTTACTAGTTTTTGCTGTTTCTCAGAAAAGGTAAAACATGTGTGATAGGCATGACATGGTAGTTTGCTATCATTTAAACACCTATAATGTTGCTATTTATCCAAATTTTGTTGGGGCATTGTTGCTTCGATGGACTGGATACTATTTATCACTAGTCTGATTCCATTTATAACTGGTCTGATTCCAGTTATCACTGGTCTGATTCCAATGAACTTGAAAAATAGTCCCCCTCCCCAAGACAACACAAACCCTTCCTACTCATTAAGATATTTTAATAGAAATAGCCGTTATTCAATCAAATATGACTATTAATAGTATACATTGAAATTTATCTAGTTATTAAATCAAAATGTTTTTATTTTATTTACTTTCAGAATATCTAGTTATTTATTAAATGTTTTAAAAGATGAATTAGTGCGGTTATTACAAGTTTTATTCGGTTCTGTTGACAGTGCTTTTAAAAACAACAAACATCATAAACAGTTAAATCATATACTGGGAGTTATATTCCGATGTCAGCTTGATACGGACATTAACAAATTTAGTTCTATAAATAGATTATTATGTCATACACCACATGTGCAATATTTACCTCTTCCCTCAGATATAATGGTAAGTACAATGTATATATGTATATATGATTCAAGATGAAGGATTTGGTAAATAAGGAGAGCTATATCATAAAAAGGGAAGTTATATCATAATAAGGAGCGGTATGTCATAATAAGGAGAGTTATTTCATAATAAAGTGTGTTATATCATAATAAGGAGAGTCATATCATAATAAGGAGAGTTATATCATAATAAGGAGAGGTATATCATAATAAATAGAGTCATATCATAATAAGGAGAGGTATATCATAATAAGGAGAGTCATATCATAATAAGGAGAGTATCATGATAAGGAGTGGTATATCATAATAAGGAGAGTCGTATCATAATAAGGAGAGTTATATTATAATAAGGAGAGGTATGTCATAATAAGGAGAGTTATATCATAACAAGGAGAGGGATTCCTTTCATTCATTCGTAAGGCAGAGGTTCCTCAGAGTACAAGATTTAGAGTCCGTGTATATATAGCCAGTGGCTAAGGGAGTAAGACGCTGGCTCGCTAACCTGGGGGTCGAGAAAGTTCATCAGAATTTTCCCACGTGGTTCCCCCTTGTCAGTGGTGCAGGAAAAACTGAGGTCCTGTGTACACATTGGCGTGCACATAAAAGATCCCTTGGCAGTTGAAATTTTATATAAGAGTAGTGCGTAATGCGACCATCCAGGCAAAATTTCCCTCATAGCACAATGTATGGCGCATGTCCGTCTTCATTAGCCCAGTCGGAGCAGAATAGTAGGAAGTTAAACCCCATTTCATTTTATTTCATTTACACAATTACACAATGACCTTTAACAATTGATCAATGATATGAAATAATATATTGGTTGAACGACAGCATGTACATATCAAGGAGTAGTGTCGACTGTCTAACCTTGTGAGCTTTCTCTGGCTCCTCCAGTTTCCTCTCACAGCGCAATCAAATTATTAAAATAAAATGAAACCTAGAGTCCCGAAATGACCTTCTTTGTGCCAAGTGGACATTAAACTTGAATTCTCTTTCCATTTAAAGTAGCAATATTAATTTTTAAAATTCAACAAAGTTAAAAAATACTGTATTATAGTCATCTACAAATGTACTGAATCGTTTAATCCTGCACATTTCTCAAATATGTTATTAACTATTTTTCAGCTCAATTTAAGTAATATTCTCAGTGAATTTGAAGCAGGGGATTTTGTTGATATGGTAATTTTTATTTTTTATATTTCCTAATTTATTCATTTATGTAGATAGACGTTTTTTTGGGTGATTTCGTCCAAACAATTGTTTTATGTTTACTGTCTGATAGTTACTATGGTTACTATAATTGTAATTGTTTTATGTTTATAATCTTGATGGTTACCATGGTTACTATGATTGTAATTGTTTTACGTTTACAGTGTGATAGTTTCCATGGTTACTATAATTGTAATTTTTTTATGTTTATGGTCTGATAGTTGCTATGGTTAATATAATTGTAATTGTTTTATGTTTACAGTCTGATAGTTACCATGGTTACTATAATTGTAATTGTTTTATGTTTATGGTCTGGTAGTTGCTATGGTTACTATAATTGTAATTGTTTTATGCTTATGGTCTTGTAGTTACTATGGTTACTATACTTGTAATTGTTTTATGTTTACAGTCTGATAGTTACTATGGTTTAAGAAGATCTTATTCAATATTAGGATCCTGTCTTTTTTACAAAGTGAGTATGTTGTAATTATTATCACTTGTATGATTTCAAATTAATGTGGAACCGTGGTTTTATTGAAATACCTCGGTATACAGTGCCAGATTTAGATGAAGAGAGACCTTTGCTATTTCACTTAACAAGCCCCTCCCAATCCCCCACCCCTACAACTAGTAGATGATGTTTAAGACTACTGTGCATGTAAGAAAAGAAAGGCTTATACCAGTGTCAAAAATATTATACACCTTGACCAAGAGCCCCCCCCCAAGATCTTGAGTTCCTAGGTTTCAGTCTGCCACGCCTATAAATATGGTACTGGAGGTACAGTGTATCTTTTTTCACAGTTTATTATATTGTGCTTTATCTTTTATTTTTGCAGGATTATTTGTTATGTAGTCATTTAAATAAAGAACATTTGATCGATATCCGCCTGTATCTACAATATCATGGATTACTTTCCCTTACCAGTAAATGTCCTCTCAATCAGTTAGTGATATGGCGGGAAGTATATCCCACACAGTTCTGTAACGATGTGTCAGGTATCAACAACGTGTTCGGATATTCGGAACCCGATGCAAGGTGGTTTCTACTGATAGTCGGACTGGTGAGTCTTTAATATCCAGTCATTTAGCACTAATCACAACTTGAATATTCAGTCATTTAGTACTACTCACAACTTGAATATTCAATTGTAATAATATGATTTAATACCACTCAGCAATTGTAATGATTTAATGCCACACAGCAATTGTAATGATTTAATACCACACAGCAATTGTAATGATTTAATGCCACACAGCAATTGTAATGATTTAATGCCACACCACAACTGTAATGATTTAATGCCACAAATCGGCTGTAATGATTTAATGCTGCACAGCAATTGCAATGATTTAATGCTGCACAGCAATTGTAATGATTTAATGCCACATAGCAATTATATAATGATTTAATGACACAGCAATTGTAATGATTTAATGCCACACAGCAGTTGTAATGATTTAAAGTTCCCTTGTTTTACAGCGTTTTTATATTTTACAGAAATACAGTATTTATGCAGTTTTACTTGAGGCTGGTGGTTGTTCTGTTAGGTAAGATACCATATGCAGCCATCTTCCCATGATTGTTCCACAATATAACTTATCCTATGGTTGGTCCACAATATAAAATATCTTATTGTTGTTCCACATTATCCTATTGTTGTTCCATAGCAATATATCCTATGGTTGTTCTACAATACATTATCCAATGGTTGTTCTTCACTATAATTTATCTCATGTTTGTTCCTTAACAACTTAGCCCATGCTTATTCCATACCATCTTATTCTTATCCCATGCTTTATCCATCACAACTTATCCCTTTGGTTTTCCATAACACATTTTATCCCCATTGATGTTCCATTGCACAACATATATGCCAATGTTGATGATCCATGACACACATTATATGCCATCGATGATCCATGACACAACTTGTATCACATTGATGACCCATGACACAACTTGTATCACATTGATGTTCCATGACACAACTTATGTTCCATTGCACAACATACATGCCAATGTTGATGATCCATGACACACATTATATGCCATTGATGATCCATGACACACCTTGTGTCACATTGATGATCCATGACACAACTTGTATCCCATTGATGTTCCATGGCACTTTATTGCTCTATACCACATATGTTGTGAGGTTCCATAACACAATTTATGTCCCATGATTGTTTCATAACAAAATTTCATGCCATAGATGTTTGTATGACCAACCTCCTGTAAACAAAGATATGAACAAGCACACAGTCCAATGATAAAAGCAGTAAAACCTGGCCCCAAGTTCACAAAGCATTCTCAGACTTAAGTTCAGAATTTATTCAACTTTCAATCACTGTTTATGAGAAGTATCTTTGATCCAAAAACACAAAACTTTGCACAGAATTTCGTAATGAGGTATTTGATACATTAAAACAACAAAAGTTTTATAAAGGGCTATATTTTAGTTTGAGTAAATTCTGAACATAAGTATAAGAATGCTTTGAGAACTTGGGACCTAATTTTGTATTATTAAAGAATGAATGTATTGATATCTATTGTAGACGTCAAGGTGCTACGTTACCTGACCCGTTTTACATTGATCAGGCTAAATCAACTTTATTACAGACGTTGACCATTAATTATACCAGTATTATAGAATCCAGGTAAGAGACTTTAATCATTAATTATAATATCCAGGTAAGAGACTTTAATCATTAATTATATAATCCAGGTAAGAGACTTTAATCATTAATTATATAATCTAGGTAAGACTTTAATCGAGGTCTATACTCAAATCCATTATCTCTTGAAATATGGGCATTCAATTATTGCTGCCATTCTGTACTTGAATGTTTGTGATAAAACAGGAATCTGCACTAATCAGAATTATAGGATAGATTTCAAATAGATCCACATCCAATATAGCTCACCATTTCATAACCCATCAGTGGGGGTGGATGGCCGAATGGTTAGCATGTGCACGGTGTATTGTAAGGTCTGTCATTGAGTAAACCGGAGTGGTTTTGATTCCCCGGTTGTACGTGGCAAGGAGTAGGGTCGCTTGTCCAACCTCGTGGGTTTTCTCTGGATCCTCTGGTTTCCTCCCACTGCTAAAGACCCCTACGCACAAGCAAATTATCGTAATAAAATTGAACCATGTGTTAGTCCTGAAATGACCTAGTTTGTGTCGAGTGGATGTTAAACCCCATTTCTCTCTCTCATTAACCTTTCACTGTGCCAAATTTTAGGCTTTTGTCACAAAATGTAGAATATTTCATAATTCTGCTAGACTGTAGTTTACAATATGATCACTATGTTATACAGTAATATTTATATATGAACAGATTAAATGGTAGTGGTTTACCAACAGTGATAAATGTAGATAATGTTCACCAGAAAGGTCGAGGTCTGTCAGATATCAGTTTTCCTCTCTCCAAATCAGGTTAGTTTACATACTAAACTTAGGCTGACAGCTTGAGAACAGACACTAAGCTAGTTGACCGACATTTTAAGTCCTGAAACAACAATATTGGTATATTTTGAGAATTTTGAGAAATATATATTCTGCATTCATTTAATTAAATTGAAAAGGTTTAATTACCGTAGTCTTTTTGTGTAGAACAGATGTAAACCGGAGTAGGACAATTTACAAAACAGTATACTTATTGTTGGATATGGTGGTCATTTAGGACAGAGATCTATTCTTGAAGTAGAGTAGTATTCTCTGTGTGCAGAATGACAAGTTTATAGACAACATAGAGACAGCTATTTCAATATATTCATGAATATTATACTGTTCCATGATTCTGTAAAAGTTAGGAGAATTTTCCCTCCTCTAATTCTTTCTGTTTATAAAGTATATGCAACTACGCAATGTGGACATTAGAATTGTTAATGTTAACATTATTTATTATGAAGTTAATTATACGAATATTTTGTGATGATGATAAATAATGTTAAATTGGATTTTTGGATCTTTAACAGTTGGAGGAAACTGGAGAAAACCTATGAGGTTGGACAAGCAACCCTGCTCCTTGTCATGTATAAGCATGCCACTTGATTCGTGACGGACCTTCTGATCTAAAGCAACCATATTAAACCATTCAGCCACCCATCCCCTCTGTTACAATGATATGAATAGTTTATGATAATAATGAATAATAAATTTAAATTGATTCTACAGGTTATAAACGACAAGATGATAGTGATCTACCTCCACGATATCCTAGAGTTACCTCCCCTAGACAAGATATATTGCATCGTAAATCATCTATAGACTCAGATGCATCCAGTGGTAGCAGTAGTGACAGCCTATTTAAGGTAAAACATTTAAAGGCATACCCTCATCCCTGAACCTAAGTCGGACAGGTGGCAGGCCCCAGGGCCTGGATGACAGTCAAACCTAAATCTATGATATCAGCCTCGGTGGAAGTGGATGTAAAACTCCAGGAATGAACGAAAGGCATACCCCTAAGAAAATGGAAGCGGTAAAATTTCTTAATCACTCATCTATCTCCAACCTACGCTCGACAACACTTGTTTACGATTTATTTTTGTATTTTTAATTTGTTTTGTATTTTATGTTGATAGAGTTCTCGTACCAGTCGTTTATTTGGTGATGTTCACAATCCTGTAATAAACAGCAGATGGTTGGACGATAGGAGTTTTAAGTAAGTTGTATATTATATATAGTATAGGGGTATTGGTGTATATTACATGGGATGGGCGAATGGTACATATTTGAAATGGTGGGGTGTATATTACTGTTGAGGAAGGGGGGAGGGAGGAGGGGGTATAGTGATATATTGCAGGGTTTGGGAGGAGGACGATAGGGGTCCCTCCAGTTTCCTTTCACTGCTGAAAACCACTACAGGCGTACAAGCAAGCAAATTATTCAAATGAAATTGAAACACATGTTAGTCCCAAAATCACCTAGTTTATGTCAAGTGAACGGTGTAAACCCCATCCTGCCTGTCTCTCTATTTTATCCATCATTCAGTAATATAAGTAATTTGATATATTGTTTCAGGTTATCACAAGGGGCAGATAACTGTGTATTTAACTTCTGCTGTATGGACAGTATAGAGGGTATATATATCAGTAACATACAGAGACCTGCAGCAGTAGTTAGTATAAACCAGACAAATCTAATGGACAACTTCCATAGATGCTGTTGTCAGCTTCGGAAAATGTTCCATGATTCTAAGGTCCTGAAGGTCAGTGGATAATAATAATAATTGTCTTATTATGGTCATTAAAGAGGGTGTGTGTGTGTGTTGGAGGGGGTGGGGGTTGGGGGTGCACATCTATTCAATAATAATTTATTATTGAATACTGGTAACTGTTTATTAATAGGCCTACCTGAGAAATAAAATTGTTACATGTTCTTATTTTTATCTCACATTTAGGGCAGAATAAATATTCTGGTTGGCGGGAAAACATTCTTTTATATGAAAATTATGATCCATGTGTACCCTAGATATATATTAATGTACTGTTTTGGACAGTCTAACTGCTAATAAGAGATTAATGTTGTTGTAAAGTTTATAATCGACATTTGGTCTATATTCCAGAAATTAGCGACAGGTGAGAAAGAGCCGTTATTTTATCCTGATGATAATCTGGTTGATGTTAAAGAACATGGCGTATTGTTTACTTGTCAACCGGTTACCATGACACCAGATTCTAAAAAACATAAACAATCATTTACCTACTGGGTTGTAGGGTAAGTAACTACAAGTCTCTCTAAAACAAATATCAGTCTAGAACTTGTTCACCTATTGGGTTGTAGGGTAAGTAACTACAAGTCTCTCTAAAACAAATATCAGTCTAGAACTTGTTCACCTATTGGGTTGTAGGGTAAGTAACTACAAGTCTCTCTAAAACAAATATCAGTCTATAACTTGTTCACCTATTGGGTTGGTAACTACAAGTCTCTCTAAAACAAATATCAGTCCAGAACTCGTTTAATTCTCTTCTGTATTTATAAATATATGATGAATTGAAATTAAACAATCTCAAATTAACTACAGCTAACAAGGTATCAAACTTTATTACTTTCCTGTCATGATAATGGAGAATTTGGCCCAGACAGTACTGTTTCCCTTCACAACAAACTATTGTGATTTCTTACAAATTTTTTATAAATAATGATAATTTGTATGCTAAAGTAATTAAAAATTTGCTTCTTGTTTCAGACGCAAAATCACCCGTGGCAACAAGAAAGAAATGTATGTTTGTTTCCTTGATTCAACTCCTCAGAACGTCATTGAAATGGCCTTTACATTAGGATTCAGTAAAACATGTTTTTAACATTGAAATGGCTTTTACATTTACATCATGTTATCTCATTAGTCCGTCATAATACATTGATCCACCATGTTACCTCATGGTCTGTCATGTTACCACATTGGTCTTTCATTTTACCACATTGGTTTATCATGTTACCTCACCAGTCCATCATGTTACCTCACCGGTCAATCATGTTACCCCATCGATCTATCATGTTACATTATTATTTTGTCATGGCTGATCCATCATTAGTCCTTCATGTTACCACATCAGTCCATCATGTTACATCACCATTCCATCATGTTACCAAGTTAGTATGTCATGTTATCTCATTGGTCCGTCATGTTATCTCAATTGTCCATCATGTTACCTCATTATTCTGTCATGTTACCTCATTATTCCTTCATGTTACCTCATTATTCCTTCATGTTACCCATTATTCCAGCATGTTACATCACTGATCCATCACAAGACCCTCATGTTACCTGATTAGTCCATTATGTTACCACTGCCTCATTAGTCCACTGTGTCACATCTTTAAACCATGATAACAATCCATCATGTTACCATGTATCATGTTACATCAAAAGTAGACCTTGCTACCATGCCAGTTACATATCCACCCCATATACCCCTGGCTTATTACCATCTTCCTGTTACACTCCTGCCTTATTATTGTTATTGTTGTTAAAGAGTAAACTGTGTGTTATTGTTGAAGATAAGAGAGTATATTATAATTATTGTTATTGATAATTGTTGAGCCACCATTTAATATTAAAGATGCATTATGTAAGAGTGAGATAAAGAGCTGACAGTTTTTGCTATAATAGTTCAAAAAGTAGATAATAAAAAAGGAATATATTGAAAATTGTAGTCAAATTACTTTATTTTGAGTGAAGTTTTGTTAAGAATAGCCTAATTTCTATTCATTTCATTGTTACTATAATAAACAATTAAATTTAAATTATATTAATATTTCAATCCATTAAAAATTATGACCATCCGTTGGTATAGAGAGTAGATTATGGGCTTGTCATGTGAATAAATGTGTAATTAATAGGCCAAAAGAAAGACCTACAATAGGCAGATATAGCTCTTACATTATAATGCATCTTTAAGTTGATATGGGAGGCATTCAAAGACATATTGACCTTGATCTTCTTTACATTCCGTTTCATCCATAGTCATCTTCTTCGGTAGCTATTATTCATAGCTATACAAACTCTACATCTACTTTAAGAATAGTTCTGAATGGCTGCCATATTAAAAAACACTTGTCTCTACTTAAAGATATAATGATGACCATTGACAGAAAGTTATGGATAAATATAACAGATGTACTATTTAGAATCTATCTGTTAATATGTAATGATGTTAAGTTTGTTAATAAAATTGTTATTATTGTTTTATAGTTTTTAGTGTCCATTTTTATACGCCCACATGGAAATGTGGTTGTATATTGCCGTCGCCCCTGTCCAGCCGTCCGTCTCTCCGTCCGTCTGTCCGTGCGCGGTCCACAATTTCTTGTGAACACTCTACAGACTAAATTTATCATCTGATTGTTTTGAAATTGATATATGTTGTTTGCATTAGTGAGATGAAGAAGCCTATTTAATTTCAATAAATGAAATGAAATGGGGTTTAACGTCCTACTGTTCTGCTCCTATACTGGGCTAATGAAGACGGGCATACACCATACAGTGTGCTATGAGGGAAATTTTGCCCGGGCAGCGGCACTATCGCCTACTCTTATATCGAATTCCAACTGCCAAGGGATCTTTTATGTGCATTCTAATGTATACACGGGACCTCGGTTTTTCGTCTCATCCGAAGGACTAGACAGCTGTCCTTGTCAGCCCCTCCGTTCTGCACCACTGACAAGGGGAAACCACGTCAGAAAATCAGGATGAACTTTCTCGGCCAATGCAGGGATCGAACACCCGACCTCCAGGCTAGTGAGCCAGCGTCTTAACCACCTAGCCACCGTGGCTCCCTTAATTTCAATAACTTTCGTTAATTTCTTCTGGAGTTATGGCCCTTGTTTCACTTTGTTGCACCTTGTGAACACTCTAACAACACAAGTTATCAACCGATCTGTTTGAAATTGATATGCATCATTTAAATTAGTAAAACGAAGAAGCCTATTGAATTTCAGCAATTTCCGTTTATTACGGTGTGAGTTATGGCCCTTGTTTCACTTTGTTGTACCTTGTGAATGCTCTAACCATAAAAGTTATTATGCAGTTATTATATGCATCATTCAAATTAGTAAAACAAAGAAGCCTATTAAATTTCATCAATTTCCGTTAATTACATCTAGAGTTATGGCCCTTGTTTCACTTTGTTGAATCTTGTGAACGTTCTAATGACAAGGGTTATCATTCGATCTGTTTGAAATTGATATGCATCATTTGAATTAGTGAAACGAAGAAGCCTATTGAATTTCAACAATTTCCGTTAATTACGCCGTGAGTTATGGCCCTTGTTTCACTTTGTTGTACCTTGTGAACGCTCTAATGACAAAAGTTATCATCCGATCTATTTGAAATTGATATGCATCATTTAAATTAGTGAAACAAAGAAGCCTATTGAATGTCAGCAATTTACGTTGATTACGCCGTGATTTATGCCCCTTGTTTCACTTTGTTGTTCCTTGCGAACGTTCAAACGACAAAAGTTATTATCCGATCTGTATGAAATTTATATGCATTATTTGAATTAGTAAAACAAAAAAGCCTGTTGAATTTCAACAATTTCAGTAGATTACTTCCTTGTGAATCCTCAAACAACAAAAATTGTAATGTCATCTGTATGAAATTGTCTATTAAATTCCCCTAATTACCTACAAAATAATAAATATGCAACAGCCCTTGTCGACTGCTCGGACGATTTAGCTGCTGTGGGTGTATGTTTTGTTGCCTGGCAACCTACCTTTCATTATGGCTGTATATTGTCATCTGTTCACATCTTGTCAGTTGTGCAGGATAGAGGACCTGACAAGGACAGTGTGTAATCATGGTGTGCACTAAAAGAAACCTTGACAATTGGGATTCAAAATAAGAATAGGTCGTAGTGCCTCTTTCCGGGCAAAATCACCCAAATAGTACACTGTTTCGCGTATGCCGTCTTCACTAACCCAGTCAGTGCAGAACAGTAGGACCTTAAACCCCATTTCATTTCAGTTGGTGGGGTTGTGTGGCTGAATGGTTAGTCAACTGCTGTGGTTTCGATTCCTGTCACCTGTCCAACCTCGTGGGTTTTCTCCAGGTCCTCTGGTTTCCTCCCAATGCTAAAGACCCCTACACGCAAGGGAATTATTGATATAAAATTGAACTGTATATCAGTCTCGAAATGAACTAGTTTGTGTCGAGTGGACGTTAAACCCCATTTCTCTCTCTCATCTCTGGTTGAGGGGGGTCTACCAAATGTGCTGCACATCATAAGGAATGTAAAATGAAATGAAATGAAATGGCGTTTAACGTCCTACTGTTCTGCTCCTATACTGGGCTAATGAAGACGGGTATACGCCATACAGTGGGCACTATCGACAACTCTTATATCGAATTCCAACTGCCAAGAGATCTTTTACATGCATTCCAATGTATACACAGGGCCCTCCGTTCTGCACCACTGACAAGGGGAAACCACGTTGGAAAATCCAGATGAACTTTCTCGGCCAATGCTGGGATCGAACACCCGACTTCCAGGCTAGCGAGCCAGCGTCTTAACTACCCGGCCATTGTGGCTTCCCATAAGGAATGTAAGAGCATGGAAGGGTCCTTACCCCACTCTGGATACATGTCTGCTACCATTGTGTTATATAATACAATGTACTAATATGACCTGATTGAAAAGTAGCAGATCCTGTGGTTTAAGATATGAATGCATTCATCAGATAGGGCAGTTTTCTATTGAATCGACTCGCTTTATGAATCTACTGTGAGCTGATTGTTGTTTACCGTCAGTTAGTTTTTGAAATGAAATGAAATGAAATCGGGTTTAACGTCCTACTGTTCTGCTCTGGCTGGATTAATGAAGACGGACATACGCCATACAGTGTGCTATGAGGTAAATTTTTACGCGCACGCCAATGTATACATGGGACCTCATTATTTTTCGTCACATCTGAACGATTAGACAGCTGTCCTTGTCAGGTCTTTGTCCTGCACCACTGACAAGCGGAAATCATGTAAAAAATCCTGATGAACTTTTCCGTGCCAGTGCAGGGATCGAACATGCGTTGGATCCCCAATGGCGAGACAAGCACCTCACTGCCTCCATAATTGACAATAAAATATTTGTGAAAATATCTTTTACATAAAATAAAATTTGGTTTAAGGTCCTACTGTTCTGCTCGGACAGGGCTAATGAAGACGGGCATACGCCATACAGTGTGCTATGGGGGGAATTTTGTCCAGAGAGAGGTGCTACGGCCTACTCTTATATCAAATTCCAACTGTCAAGGGATCTTTTATGTGCATGCCAGTGTGTACACGGGACCTCGGTTTTTCAACCCAGGCCCTCTGTCAAGGGATCTTTTATGTGCACGCGAGACCTCGGTTTTCCAACCCAGACCCTCTGTCCTGCACCACTGACAAGGGGACACCAGCACAAAGTCTTTGCAGTTGGAATTCCACGAAGTTCCAATACCGGGATAATGATTATTTACTAATCTAAAACAGCCCCAAGAACTCTCATGTTTGACCCTTAGGTCGACAGTTGAACATCAAACTTTCATTCAGACAAATTGTAGTTGATATTTATGTATTCTTCTTGCTGACAATTAGTTTACAGACAATGATCCTGCTGTGATCAGATAGGTCTTATCAACAACCCGGCTGTAATCAGATAGGTCTTATTATCAACAACCATGCTGTAATCAGATAGGTCTTATTATCAACCATGCTGTGATCATATAGGCCTTATTGTCAACTACCAAGCTGTGATCAGACCGCTGTTATTATCAACAACCATGCTGTAATCAGACAGGTCTTATCAACCATGCTGTGATCATATAAGTCTTATTATCAACAACCAAGCTGTGATCAGACTGCTGTTATTATCAACAAACATGCTGTAATCAGATAGGTCTTATTATCAACCATGCTGTGATATAGTCCTTATTATCAACAACCAAGCTGTAATCAGATAGGTCTTATTATCAATGAAGCTGCCTTATTACCTGGGCTAAAAACAAAACGATACAAAAGATTTCTGTATTATATTTTTGTGTATAAATATAAAATAATCATACAAATATTTACATGGTATCAAAATGACATTTAAAATATTTCTGTAAAAATTACTGAAAATAACAAAATGAAATGAAATTTAACATCCTACTGTTCTGCTCTGACTGGCTAATGAAGACAATATTGTTATAGTTGTTTTGTCACTGCTAAAAGTAGGCCATTTGCATTTTTAAAACATTTTTAAAACCTGATAAGTAAAACGTTTTTCATTGCAAATCAATTTTGTTAATCACTCTGGTTAGTAAGATTTATTTTTCAAATAATATGACATGTTGTAGTATTATCTGAATGTTGTTTTAAAAATATATAAAAAGGTTTTTACACCTAAAACTATTAATTTAAAGATACATTATGTAAAAGCTAAATCTGCCTATTGCAGGTCTTAACATTTATTAACATGACAAGCCCATAATCAACTCTCTAGATCACCCCATGGTCGTGATTTTGAATGGACTGAAATACAATCGCCATTTAATAATTTAGTTCAAATGGATAATTGAGAGTTTGATTATTAATGTAACAATGGCACTTGAAAAGCAAGACTGAAATTTTCAAGATATTCATTTTTCATTATCTACTAGCAAGAACGACTGTGTGTTTATCTAAATCTTACATAATGCATCTTTAATTATATTTATTGTGGTATACGCTTAGGTTTTTGGAATTCATATACTGAGGCACCATCAAATAAAATGAAATAGTGTCTAATGGCACCAACCAGGCTATTTTACACCAAAGAGATGCCATCAAAATGCACAACAAATTTGATGGCAATGCTGGTGATACATAATACAGCTGATGTGTGTTTTAAAAAAACCCATTTATATAATAGTTTTATCTGGCACATTAGAAAAATAATTATAGTCAATGAAAATATATTTTGAATCAACCAAATACAAAACAGAGAATCTTTTTTAACAGATTATACATTTTCACACCAAATCTGTTACTGGTACATCCAATCTGATTGGAACAGAAATTAACATCTACTGATAAATCCATTTTGATTGGTGGAGTATTTACATCTTCTGTTAAATCAGTTTTGTTTCGTGGAGAATTTATTTCTATTGTTAAATCCATGTTGATTGGTAGAGAATTTATTTCTACTTTTAAATCCATTCTGATGGGTGGAGAACTTTTAAATCCATTCTAATTGGTGGAGAATTTATTTCTGGTTTAAAAATCAAATACGATTGGTTGAGAATTTATTGGTTGGCAGATGGTTCAGCACACCAACTAAACGAGAGGAATGGAAGGACGGAATAACGTTGATGTTGTTTGGACTACGTATATCCAATCTCGGAACTATATTATCATCAAAATCATCGGGATTAATTGGGGGAGACCTGTACGGTTTGTTTTCGTATTTATCGCGGGCAATCTGCTGTAATTTGTCCATCTGCGATAATCCAAGTTCCTCCGTTAATTTATAAAACTGACTGTTTTTATTCTGAAGTAACAGATGCGGAGAATCCACTTCCTGTATTCGTCCATCGGATACCATCTGAAACATAAACAATTGCTCTATTATATTTTAACATAATTATATTGTTTTTTTGTGGGTTCTAATGAACAATCTCAGGACATGTCCATTGCACAAAAACACCTCTAATTTCAAAAACTGCAAAGGTTTATCAGCATTGTAGCACTATATAATTAGCAATCTTTCTTGAACTATTCTTAAAGAGCTGAAAGTTGTAGCTATTATAATTAAAAAATAGATAATGAAAAGGGAATATGTTGAAAATGTCAGTCTAATTACTTCATTCTGAGCAAAGTTATGGATGCCTGATGAATAGTGTAGTCTCTATTTTTATTGCTACTGTTGTTACAATAATAACAGTCTTGATTATCCATTTTTGAATTAATTATAAATGGGCAATTATGTTTAAATCCCTTGAAAATCAAAACCATTGGATGGTCTAGAGAGTTGAATATAGGCTTGGCATGTGTGTAAATGTCTAATTAATGTTGCCAAATGAAAGAGATGCGATAGGCAGATTGAACTCTTACATAATCATCTTTAAGTGAATTCACATAACGATTGAGCATCCAAATGGTTTTATTTAATTCAAAGATTTTGTATCTGGGCAATCAAAGTCAAATTTAAGGGGAATATCCATAAGCTATAAGCTATTCTTGGGTCACTATCTACTAGTTAATGGGTGGGTGGTATTCTTGGGTTAATCATCCACCAGCTAGTGGGTAGAAGAAAATAAGCCACCAGCTAGCTGTTTGCTATGTGAACTATAAATCTAAATTAGAAGTGTTACAAATTATTCTAGAAATATGTATATTATAACTGTGACTTACCATAACTCTATCATAATCTACAACAGTATCTGGTAAATGTGACATGTGAATTACGGTGCAGCGACTAAATCGGGTTTTTAATGTGGACAATATTATAGCATTACATCTGAAATAAAAAATATGTTAGCATTACATCTGAAAATACAAAATATCATAGCATTACATCTGAAATATAAACAATATAGAATTACATTTGAAATATAAACAATGTGTTCATAGCATTGCATTGAAATATAAATAATGTGTTATATCCTAGCATTACATCTGAAATATAAACAATGTGTTATGATACCATTACATCTGAAATATAAACAATGTGTTACACTAGAGCATTACATCTGAAATATAAACAATGTAAAATATTAATAAATAATAATAATATGAAAATTTATAATGTGCTATAATCCATGTCACATACTGACAGACTCTTAAGTGCCAACCACACATCAAATACAAGAACTCAATAACACATGCCATGTGACATGTCCAGTCATGGACCCTGCCCCCTCCTCCTTTTAAACTTAATCATTAAGAATACCTGTTATCTAAACTGGATGATGGTTCTTCATAAATGACTATTTTACTCTGTCGTAACATGGCTCGACACAGACGGAATAATTGACGATGTCCAACGGTAAAGAGATCAACTATAGAAGATATATCTGTATACAGACGTTGTGGTAGAGATTCTACAAACGATGACAGATTCACCTAAAAAACAACAAATATAATACTTCATTAAAGATACATTATGGAAGAGAAAACCAGCTTATTACAGATATGTCTGTTAAACATGCATTATGCAAGAGCAAAATCTGCTTATTACAAGTCTTTCTTTAGGCCTGAAATGTTATCTAAATTATCAATTAGACATTAATTATCTTATCCAGACCATAATAAACTCTCGATGTCAAGGCTAGCCTTCGATGTTGGCTGGATTAGATTCCTATATGCCGCTAACGGCCGTTGATAATTAAATTAGAAAAAGTGGATAATCAAGACTATGCTGTTTATATTAATGATTTTAGTAATGATGACCGAGACTATGCAAAAATTTCACCCGCTTCTTTCTCGGCTCATAGTGGATCAATTTGACTGAAATTTTCAGGAAATTACCTTTACACTATCTAGTTTTTAACTATTATAGCGAGAACTGCCATCTCTTTATCTTATCTCCCATAATGTATCTTTAATTACATTTATTCACATGACAAGCCCATAATCAACTCTCTAGAGCAATGGATGGTTGTGATAGTTAATGGATTGAAAATTGATCGCCATTTACATTTAATAATTTATTCTAAAAATGGATAATCAAGAATTTGTTTATTATCCCAGCAATGTTAGCAATGAAAATTGAGACTTCACTATTTTTTATCAAAACTTCAAACACTCATAACTTCACTCAGAATAGCGAGAACTGTCAGCTCTTTAGCAAATTCTTACTTAATGCATCTTTAATCATTCTAACAGAGTACTCTACCCAATGCACAACCATCATCCTCCTCTTAAAGGAGACTGTTCTATCACTTAATTAACACTAGAACTACCAAGTAAAAAAATACATGCCCATCAGCAGCATTTTGAAGGGTGGATTTCACAGTAAGAAGGGTGAACTTCATGGTCAAAAATGTTAAGAAGGATGGTGGATTTCATGGTGAGAAGGGTGGAATTCATGGTGAGAAAGGTGGCATTCATGGTGAGAAGGGTGGATTTCATGGTGAGAAGGGTGGAATTCATGGTGAGAAGGGTGGAATTCATGGTGAGAAGGGTGACTTTCATGGTGAGAAGGGTGACTTTCATGGTCAGATGGGTGACTTTCATGCTCAAGATTGAGACATGATGAGAAGGGTAGCTTTCATGGTGAGTAGGGTGGTTTCATAGTCAGAAGAGTGGCTTTCATAGTCAGAATGGGGCTTTCATGGTCAGAAGGATGGATTTCATGGTCAGAAGGATGGCTTTCATGGTCAGAAAGGTGGATTTCATGGTCAGAGGCAATAAATACACATACAATTGATGGATTATACAGAATTGTGACAAGAGTTGCTTCTAATGATTAGCTGAACAATCCCGAACAGTTTGAAAAAATTTCCTAAAACTCTGAAATACAGAGCATTTACAAGGATATGGTGACAGGGGCGTTCACTTTCCACCCACGAGCAGAAGTAGGCCTACTAAGGGCGAAACGTAAATTTCCAATAAATAAAACACACCTCCTCTAAGACTCTCCATACTTGAGCATCTGTATATCGAGCTATCGGATCTAGATTCTGTCGAATTGTTCCCAAGAATAACGTTGGATTCTGAAATGTACAATCATATAACAATCTGATTAACATACTTTCGATGGTCTATACTAGATGAAGACCTGACCAGTTGTAGTGGAAGGTTGCCTCAGAGGTCATACAAGTGACTTTTGACCCTATGATGTCAGGCATTTGACTAAACAATCAGCGTTGATGTTTCTAGTGGGTTGCTCACAGTTCCGTGCACCGTAACAGACCGCTTCATTGGCTAATCCCTCACATCATCTTAAATGTGGGTTATATAACAACTCTTCCAGATCCTAGTGTAGTAAAGGCACGTAAAACGAATTCTGAACTATAAAAAAACGAAACGAAATAGGATCTGTGTTTTAATCAGATTGATCATATAGATCAATCAATCAATATAGAATTGTATATTGCAAACAATACTTTGGTTAAATTTCTGTATGTGGAATCTTTTGTGGAGAATTTAAGTAATATTAGGTAATGTAATATATTGTGGAGGGTAAAGTAATATATTGTGGAGATTTTAAGGGTAATGTAATAAATTGTGGAGATTTTAAGAAGGATAAAGTAATATAATGTGGAGATTTTAAGGGAAAGTAATACAATTGGAGGTTAAATTAATATATTGCAGAGAATATATTGTGGTGATCTTACGGGTAAAGTAATAATGTGGATATTTTAAGGGAAAAGTAATATATTGTGGAGATTTTAAGGGTAAAGAATTATATAGGAAGACAGCAAGACAAATATTATTTTCATCTTTGGTTTTTTGATAACTCACATTCAAACTTCATTATTAAATTGTGGGGTTGGGTGGTCTAGTGGTCTCTATAAAAAGGTCTGTCAGTGAGTCAAGTGGCATGGTTTCAAGCCCACACTTCTACGTGACAAGGAGTAGGGTCTCCTGTCCAACCTGGTGGGTTTTCTCCATGTTCTACGGTTTCCTCTCACAGATAAAGGCCCCTACTCCCAATCAAATTATTGAAATAGAATTGAACCATGTGTTAGTTTATTATTAAATTATAAATTTGTAGAAACCTGTGGTATAATGGCTATTTTATCTCGTAACCGTGGTAACGCGATATTCTGTATATCTACACCATCTATGCGTACAACACCCAGATAATCTATCATCCGAAATAAAACATTGATAAACGCCTGCTGTTCTGCAGCGGATTTAAATAACAAACCAATCTGAAAAATATAACACAAGACAATTTTACCTGGCAATGTTAAAAAGTTATTATTAATGTGTGCCCTAATATTTCACCAATACTAGGAATTGTTTTGAACGATTACCTGGAAATGGAGCTTCAAATTTCAACAGATAAAAATACAGACGAAGGTTTTAAAGTTCAACAGACCATAATACAAACAAGGTTCAAAGTTCAACAGACAATATAAAGGCACAACAGATTGTTGAGATATCTTATAAAATATATACTACTTTAATATAAAGACTGTTGTAACTGGTCTAGCCTGGACTTTATCAAAAAGATAGCACAATTGTTATTTCCTTGTCAAAAACACATCAAGATGGCGTCGTTAAATCTCAATCATGGTGTTGGCTGAGAAAGTTCCTTAGGATTTCCAGCATGTTTTCTCCTTGACAGAGGTGCTGGGAGGATAGGTCTAGTTGTTTAGATGGGATGAAAAACTTGGATCCTATGGACATTGGCGTACATGTAAAAGAATCCTTAACAGTTTGAATTGCACAAAGAGAACATATGGTGTATGTTCATCTTCATTGGACTGGTAAGTTTGAAAAAGTAGGATGTTAAACCTCATTTCATTGTCTTACAGTAATAAGTATAGTTCTCACCTTTTCCTCCGCTCTAATGCAACACCAAACGCTCTTTAATATATTTGGCCCCTTTGACGTCTGTGTGAGAGTGACACCCTCTAGTGTTAGAATACCATATTGAGGCCAGTTTAACGAAGGTTTAATATCTGTTTCAGATAGATCTAATTCTGGTGTGATCTGATAACATTGAAATAATCTCTCCACGGAACTCATCTACAATTAGATATAAAAACACTTAAAAACAATATTCCAGTATTTGTATAAGATTTCAGTATAGGTGAGAGAGAGATAGAAATACTATTTAACATTCACACAAACTAGGTTGTTTCGGGACTAACATATGGTACAATGCCACTTGACTCAATGATAGACCTTATGATCTAAAGTGCACACCTTAGACCACTCGACCATCCAACATCCCTCAGTACTAGTTGATCAGACATTTAACATAGATAACCATAATAATGATCAGGACCGCATTAACCTTTTGGGGATTCAGGACACATCAATTGGGAGCGGGGGGGGGGGGGGGGGGGGGGACTGAATTAAGGAATTAAAAAAAAATAAAATGTTTGGTCCACTGTGGTAGCTAACCAAAGTCAAAAATTATCCATGGATCCCTTTTTGGTGTAAATGAGATTCTATCGAATGCAACAGCCAGAAACTAAAATGGGGACACTGATTGTGGACTGAATGAGGACCCATCCTATTTTTCAAATCTAAATTAGAATCTCTCGGTTATCCAATGGAACTTTTGGTCTTGTACATGGATGGGGGGTTTGGGGTATGAGGGATATTTGTCCAACTTTTCCCTCCATAAATCTGGTACTAAAAGTGTCCATTTGTTGAAAGATAATTTTTTTATACAAACCTTAAAATGAACAGCAGCTGATTTCTTCATGGCAGGTTGATGTACATTGAGCAAATTTAGAGCATAAAATAATGATAATCCAATTACACTTGAATGTATTGGTGCTCCTGAAATATATAAAATATACAAAATAGTCGCTGATGACACACTCAGTTGGTGGTCATTTCCAAGAGAAGCTACATTCTAAGAAGTAGCTTCAGCCCAGGCCGTAACTAGCTCAGGGCTATGAGGGGGTCGGGAAGTGTTCTCAGGGGTGCTGTAAAATTCACGGACAATGTAGATATATATTATTGGGGGTCGACAATTTTTTCACAGGATGGGGGGGGGGGGCTTTGCCCTCCCCTGTGTGGGGTTTAGAATCCTACTGTTCTGCTCCAAACTGGGCTAATGAAGATGGGCATACGCCATACAGTGTGCTATGAGGGAAATTTTCTCGGGGAAGCGGCACTATGGCCTACTATTACATCGAATTCCAACTGTCAAGGGATCTTTTATGTGCACGCCAATGTGTACATGGGACCTCGGTTTTTCATCCATCCAAACGACTAGACAGCTGTCCTTGTCAGGCCCTCACTCCTGTATCACTGACAAGGGGGAACCACCCAGGCGAATCTGAATGAACTTTCTCAACTAATGCAGGGATCGAACACCCGACCTCCAGGCTAGTGAGCCAGCGTCTAACCCACTTAGCCACCGTGATCCCCATCTGAAATCGAAGTCAAATGAATATAAAATGGTGACAAATGTGCTTTCCCCTTCTGGACCAATTGATGCCACTTCTTTCAATTTTCTGTGAAGTTAAAAGAACTTGATGATACTTCTTTTAATTTTCTGTGAAGTTAAATGATCTTACCTTGATAGTTAACGACAAGAATTGAACCAATGACAACACCAACTATTAACAGAAAACCAATTAAATCAACTCTCATTCCAAACCAACGATTGGCTGCTAGATGTAAATAACAGGCTGCGGTGCTGCGATCCTGGTTCACATCAAAATTATGTAAGAAACGCTGTTCTACACCAAACGAGCGTAACGTCTGTATACCTTCCATACTGCTCACCACATGACTACCAACAGCTCCTTTAGCTGAAAAAAAATAGAACATTCCAAATCTGATAGGCTTCATATTGGTCAAAAATGATACAGAGATTTCTGTGGGGATGCTTTATTGTTACTACAGAGTGATCTAAATTGTTTCCCCCCCCCCCCCCCGACTCGACAATTTTTGAAAGACGCATGGTCTCTAGCATCATTTTGGTATTTATTTTGAGTAACTGGATGTCATTATGCTAAAACACAGAAACTGAGGTTGGCAAAAACTTAGCTGTCAGTTTCATTTTAAAGATTGGATACCAATCAGCTTACCTAGAGCGATCGATAACCATGTGCATGATCACTGATGGCAGAGCGCGATACTGGCACACTCACCATCATTGTAGAGTTCTCCTGGCCTGGACTACTAGATCCCAATTACCTGCCAGGGCCTGGATACCCTGATGGTGTAGAGAACCTCAAACGGAATGAGGACGGGCTGGAGCTCCACAGCCCGGTCAGGTAGTTTATAGTTTTTAATTCACCAATTTTTCCCCAAAAAAGTGGACTGACAGAATCCAGTTCTAATCCTACCCACGCCACTAGGTATCCACATTCAGAAAAGTCACCGGTGGTCTTTTACCTAATGATTAAGTAACAGGGTATTCTTTTTATTAATTATACCAACAAATTTTTTAAAACATTCTTCAGCATGCCTCCAGGCCCATGGACAAGTGTCCCAGCTGTCCCCCTCTCACGGACCCTACATGTGTTGTCCACCTATGTATCAACTTACCAGCCAATTCGATCCTCTCAACATCCTGGGTTGAATGTAAATAATAATGTCTGGCTATGAGGAAGGCAACAGTTAATGGTACAACCAACAGAAACAACCAATAGTTAGTCACACCAACCACTAACATAGTTGAAAACAGAACACTAAATGACTGAAACATAAAACAAAATGTAAGCATGGATCTTTAACAGACTGTTTGACGGTGGTGCATTTTCAGATTTCTAGAAAAAAAAAAAATTGTTTATTTTTTAATGTAACTAATATTATCATATTAAATTCCATTAGTGTAAATTGACATCAACTACCACAAAAACAGTGAGTTCGAACAGCCTTGCAAAACTATTTGTATTCGAATATTTGTTAAAGATACATTATGTACAATTTAGATCATGGGCTGGCAGTTCTCGCTATGATAGTTCAAAAATAGATAATGCAAAATGAATATATTGGAAGTTATCGGTATTGTGTAAACTATTTCAACAATAGACCAGGTAATGAATAAAATATAAAGAATCTACAACAGCATCATTTTTTCTGGATATATTTCAGATATATCGTAATTTTTATTAGTCATAAAATATCGTCAGGAGAAATTCTGTATTTACCTGTAAACAATCTAAAAATAGAGCTGGTAGGGCATCAACGATACATACATCCCTTAAATACCTGCTTAATACAGCACCTAGAATTATAATACTAATATTACAAGGGAGATAATCCAAACAGAAATATACACGGCAACTGTGGATACAGAAATGAATTGAAATGAAATAGGGTTTAACACCATGCAGTGTGCTATGAGGGAAATTTATCTTGCCAAGGCATCTTTTATGTAGATGCCAATGTATACATGCGACCTTGATTTTCCGTCCCATCCAAATGGCTATACATTTCCTTGTCCGGCACTTCGTCCTGCAACACCGACAAGATGAAACCACACCAGAAAATCCTGAAAAACTTTATCGGTCAACCCCAGGAACTAGCATGCCCATGTCTTACTCAGAAGACAGGGATATGTTATACAGAGTACTATACAGTGTGTGCTATATAGTCTACTTGTTTTTCAATACCATTGATATACACATGTACAAAGCTAACCCAGTAAAAATGTGAATGGAAAAATAACTCGGCGAACTGTGTTCAAAATTTAACGATTATAAAATTTTGAAGATAATTTAAAATTAATAATATTGGCAGCAAAAAATGTAGGTACACATCCGTTTTCTTGACATAATGTTATCACTAAGACCACTATCATTTTTAACTTCTTTACAATTACTACCCTAGTCTCTAGGATACAGGTAAAAGTCTGATTAGAAAGCGAGCCGACCTCTGCTGCCCAAATATATTTCAGCTGTTAAGGTTGGTTGAGATATTTTCTTATTCAGTTACTGCATGCGTTGTCACTATATTTGGGATTGAGAGAATTCAATTCCGGAACAATCAATCAAGGATCTCGACAATGTTATGGAAGAACTCGATCCAGGGGAAGATAACTAACTAAAAATATCAAATTACAGTATATTCAACCAGAATATATATAGACCTCTATCATATTCCCCCATTCTGGATCAACTCATGTATAATCACTTCACTATTTAAAATAATTAACTGAATTCTTCATACCACAATTGGAAATAACTTAACATAAATTTCCTCAAAGCTAGACAACAAATATCACATTCTATCATAAATCTAAAAGGTTTTAATTTATCTCCCCTTGATGTGTCAAGGGAGAAAACTATACTTATGGAGGCAGACCAAAACGAAATTTCACCATCTCAGAACCCACAACCTATAGTTCGTCATTTATAGCAATTCTCTCTCTCTCTCTCCCTTTTCTCCCCTTTTGCATGGTCATTTTTGTGGATTTTTTGTTATAGAATTGACCATAATTTAGAGACGAAAGGATAACAGAGTTAAGAACTTGGTTATGATGATAAGTTCTATATATATGCATCTTCAACAAATTTGTGTATCTTAAAAGTTCAGTGGTCAACCTCATACAAAATCTGGAACAAAGACATGTTGCTCTGTCTGTATTGAAAATCGCTCAGCCCAATTAAAATTTGGAGGAAAGTTAGAGCTGGGCAAAGAGACCAAAATTAACCTTAAAGTCAATCGTGAAATTAATGGTGATCTGACTTCACAAGTTAATAAATTATCTCCCTTGATGTGTCAAGGGAGATAACTATATTACACTGATTATTTTTTATACTGTGTATAGCTGCTCATTTTCATCTAATTATCCTACATTTCTACAAACAATAACATATGAAACATATTGCTTTATTTTATACAGGTCACAATTCTATGGAATATAATTACTGCTTATTACTGGGGGGGGGGGGGGGTGGATGGCCGAATGGTTAGCATGTGCGCGCTGCACTGTATCATACGGTCTGTCATTGAGTCAACTGGCGGGGTTTCGATTCCCCGGTTGTACGTGACAAGGAGTAGGGTCGCCTGTCCAACCTTGTGGGTTTTCTTCGGGTCCTCCGGTTTCCTCCCACGGCTAAAGACCCCTACGCGCAAGCGAATTATTGAAATAAAATTGAACCATGTGTTAGTCCTGAAATGACCTAGTTTGTGTCGAGTGGACATTAAACCCCATTTCTCTCTCTCTCTCTCTGCTTATTACTGAGCGACATATCAACTAGGCATCTCTAGTCATTATCAATCAATGATAAAATATGAAATATAACAAGACAATATATACATGTAAACAGCAATACTTGGTTAATGCTAACCAGCCAGAGACACCCTTATAATCACCTTGAAGGTAATGTAATTATGAAAGTGATCCAAGTTGATAAGGGTAATGCTAATAAAAACATCCAATATGACATAGACCACTTTACCATCAATGGTATATTTTAGATATCCCAAAATTTCACTCATAGCACACTTATATGGCGCGTACCTGTCTTCATTAGCCAGATTTATGCAGAAAAGAAGGAGGTTAAACTCCATTTCATTTCATTTTCACTTTAAAATGAGAAATTTCTAATCAGCAAAAGGCATTTCACTGAAGTTTCATAAAGATATACTGCATGGTTTATTAGATATGCTCCAGAATAGTAATCATATACCAAAAACAAAGTTAAATTGTTTCCATGGATACATAACAGCCAACTGAAACAAATGTCTGATTGATAAAAGGTACAACCAACAAATGACTTACCTATGCCATTGATATCAAAGAAAGATATAGGAGCTTGCATCAATAATATCAGCGCCATGTTATGTAGAACTTGAGCTGCTCGTCGCACCATGTAGAAAAATAATCCTGCTTGAAGAAAACCAATCACCACGGTAACAAATACTATTCCTAAATAGATATAGACTCTGGCATCCAGTGATAAAATGGCAGGTCCAAATATGGTGGTATTGACAAGGTTTGTAGTATTCATGTCTTGATATTGTTCAGCCCTAGAAATATAACATGGCTGAATTGAAAAGCATATTCTATTTATTAGCTGATACAAACATTTAAATAGTTAAACAATACACCATATATTGGTTCGCTATCTTGTTTGGATAGAATTACGTTTAAAACAATATGTATGGAAATGGCTACTCTAAGTTTTTGAATCTTGTGTCTGATCCTTTTGATATGCGTCAATAAAACATGGCTAAATTTAAAAGCATATACACGAAAACAAATATAATGAAAGTACATGTAGCAGATGTTTTCTTTTCGTTCATGTAGTACTTATCTCTTGACCAAATACTCACAGAAACTGTTGTCAAACTATTAATTAAACATACACTTGTAAGAGTCATAAGCAACTACGTTGATCGAGCTAGCGTAATCCTCTAGCCTTGCTTACCCTTGTCAGTGGTGCACGACAGGGGACCTGGATGAAAAAACGCTGTCTGATATTATATAATATTGAAATATTGAAACTTACCAATAAGCTAACCACCATTCACAAAGAATAAAACTTCCCTGAAAAATAAATTGACTAATTTAATTCTTGCACGTTAAATATAAATATAAACAAATGTGATGTTTTAAATATATTGTTGTAAATCTGTAACTGAATTTAACAAGTAAGTTTACTTTGTTTTAATTCTTCTGATATGATAATACAAGATTATTACTCCTGAAACATTTATTCCTGGCCTAGCTATAATAATAATGTGAACATTTGTATAGCACTGTTCCACACTGACTGTATGCTCGTAGCGCATGCAAATTCAGTTTTCTACAATTCCAGCAACATTTACAACACAATACTGAACATAGCGTCAGAACAGATAAGTTTTCAGTGATGATTTAAAAGGGATGGATACTGTTTCAATTAAGTAGGGAGGTTATTCTAATGTGAAGCTGTCAGATATGAATTGATTTTGCTCCAAAAGTTTTTAAATTGTAAGTTGGTAATTGCAGCTAAAAATTATTTTTTGATCTATGGTTCCTGAGGGTATATGTTCCTGAACAAGTTCCTGGAGGTACACAGGTACCGTTTTGTGAATTGCTTGATATGTTAAATGGTGTCACCAGAAAACCGTAAACCAGGTAATTATATATATTTAGGCGAAGACTTTAATAATACTCCACCTAAAATGTGTTGAGTAATTAACAGATCAATTAATTATTCAACACTGCTCGGGAAATTAAACAGTTACATCATCTAATCAACGAATTTGAACAGTTTTCCAACAATTGTTTGAAACTAAACATTAAATACAGAAACTCCTACTAAAACAGCACAAAAATATGATACCCAAGTTGTAGTGCAAGACAATACAAGACAGAACAATCTGGGTGTCTCCCTAGATATACGAAAAGTCACACAGCACATCCACATATTTACATCACTGCTACGCTAACAGGCCTCTGATTTGTAATTTCAGTGGTTATGTGTGCAGTACAAGGGAGATAACTTCCACCTAATCTTCATCAAATTACAACTGTCAAGGGTTCTTTTACATACATGCCAACATGTACACAGACCAACTTTGTTTTTCATTCCATCTGAAGAACAAGGTAGCCCTGCATGCATCAGGCCTCAAAGCAGAGACAGGGGTTAAAAAGTTTGGGACATTGTGGTTGAGAGAGTTATTATCAACTTAATTGTATTGTGGTGATAGTTTGACCACCTAGTTAATTATACAACTGTCAAACATGACCAAAACAAAAGCCCTGCTTGTACTGAACTAATACTACCTTTCTCAAACAGCCATGCAAAATTATATCTGCACCAACTATATATAAGCCAGCCAATGGAAAGAAAACCCAAACTTACCTTTGTCTTGTACGTCCATGATAATTAAATAATATTCTTACCAAGCAAGTAATATAAATCCAATACGGCCAAGGGGATGGCCATAAACAGCCTCTTTGACATTTTGCTTTTTTTATAGAAGTTCTGACACCAGTTCTCATTTGAGGAGTAGACATGGCTGACAAATTGTTTCTAAAACACCTGATACCACTTCTCATTTTAGGAGTTGACATGACTAACAAATTAGGCTGTACTTTCTTATAAAAATTTTGTATTTTTTTTTGCATGTCAAGGCTAAATATTCATAATATTCAATTGATGGTTTCATGTTCAGGGAAAGGGGGCTGATAATATAGACTATGCCTGTTCATCAATCCCTATATTGTTTCAAAATAACCACCAAATATTTAGAGACATTTAACACCTTACTTTTACGCTTCACATCAATGAGTAAATTTATGTCATATAATTGTCATAAATACCTGGTATACATTTTATTTGATCTTTACATATATCTAACTGTCATGGTGATGTAATAATTATGTCTACTGTCATGGTTATGTTAGTGATATAAAATGTCTACTGTCATGGTGATGTTAGTGATATAGAATATCTACTGTCATGGTGATGTTAGTGATGCATAATATCTATTGTCATGGTGATGTTAGTGATATAGAATATATTCTGTCATGGTGATGTTAGTGATACACAATGTATATTGTCATGGTAATGTTAGTGATTATGATGTTAGTGATGCACAATGTCTATTGTCATGGTGATGTCAGTGATGTAAAATGTCTACTGCCATAGTGATGTTAGTCTACAATTCTATAAGACAACTACTTTACCTGTTCAAATATAGACAGAATAATGAATAAAAGCACCCCACACATTCCTCCCCCAATCATGAAGTAATGTTTATAAATGCTGCCTGTAGGGATCGTAGAATGGTGGCTTGGTTCTGTTTCACCAACAAAAAATGCATCGGATGGATCCTGCAAAAAAACAAGTTATTTCATTTTTAAAATCTAAATGTCTGGAATTTTCCCTTATTTTACAAAATAGCACCATATGTAAAACATTAGATATACATATAGTTGTCAGGCTGGATTTTGTGCCACTGATCTAGAAATAAAATATAATAAATCTATAGTCAGACAATTTCACTGCGAGTCAATCTAGATTAGTAAATATGACCATGGCAATTTTATTTGTAGTTCTTATGGATCTATGTTTTATTCAAAACGTCAAAGCTTTTGAGAAACACAACTAAGTATCTTTTGTTTTTGAATTACACTCCTTCCAAATTAAATGTTGCTGTTGTTTTTTTACAATTCTAAGGTCCAATACATTAATTATCAGGGATTGGATGGCCGAATGGTTAGCAGGTGCGTGTTGTATCATAAGGCCTGTCATTGAGTCAACTGTCGTGGTTTTGATTCATCGGTTGTACATGACAAGGAGTAGGGTTGCCTTTCTAACCTTGTTGGTTTTCTCCGGGTCCTTCAGTTCCCTCCACTACTAAAGACCCCTAATCGCAAGTGAGTTATTGAAATAATATTGAATCATATGTTATTCCCGAGTTTGTTTCGAGTGGACGTTATACAACATTTCTCTCTCTCTCTCTCTATCAATTATGATATTATGGCAAACATTTTATGCATGTTCCTGAAAAACAAAAACTGTTACGACCTAGCAAGATATTCATCGAAATGCTTCCACTTCGAACGCAAATACTCTTTATGTTAATACCTTGACTTCATGATGTAACACTTCCAATGAACCATTTAAACTGTCTTTTAGAGTATCCTGATTGGATGGAACTGATGTTGCTAGGCTACTGCTTCCAGATTCATTTAGTAATGGCGGCGACATATCAATCAATTTACTAACATCCATATTTTTATAAAATCCTGCCGACAAAAAGTTGTTGATGTTCATTCCCCATTTCTCTAGATCATCAAATTTTCCACAATAATTGACGTTACCCTGTGAAGATATAAATAGTTTTTAAAAAAATAAAAACATTTCACAGCAATATCATCAACAAATTTTTCCACATTAATTGATGTTACCTTGCAGAGATATAAATGTTTATAATAAATAAAAACATTTCACAGTAATATCATCAACAATTTAAATCTTCCACTTTTTGATGTTTCCATGTGGGGTTGGACATATGTCCCCAAATGTCACAATGTGTTATTGCCTGAATGGCCATGTCCGCATGTTTGTCAAAGAGGTCAATTTTGCAATGTTAGGGAGGAACATTTTGCCTGTACAGCAGCATTTCTGACTCCTCTTCTTCAAAAACTGAACTAAGCAACACTTTCCTAATCAGCCACTAGAATATGGCAGATCAATGGTTCAAACATCTTATTTTATAGGGGATCCACGGTGGGTAAGTGGGTAAGACGCTGGCTCGCTAGCCTGGAGGTCGTGTGTTTTCGATCCATGCATTGGCTGAGAAAGTTCATCAAGATTTTCCGACGTGGTTTCCCCTTGCCAGTGGTGCAGGATGAAGGGCCTGACAAGGACAGCTGTGTAGTCGTTCGGATGGGACAAAAAAAGACAAGGTCCCATGTATACATTGGCTTGCATGTAAATGATCCCTTGGCAGCTGGAATTCGATATAAGAGTAGGCCATAGTGCTGCTGCCCGGACAAAATTTACCTCATAGCACCCTGTATGGCGTATGTCCGTCTTCATTAGCCCAATCGAAGCAGAACAGTAGGATGTTAAACCCCATTTTATTTCATTTCTTTTTTTACATTTGACAATACTTACATCTGACATGACAATTAACTTATCCGCTACTCTAGCATGGTGCATATTATCTGTTACCAATATCCTGGTCTTACTCTTTAATATACCACAAATACATCTACAATATACAAACAAAATATAAATTATACAAGGTTTACAACATACAAACAAGATCTACAATATACAAATACACCTAACATATAGAAACAAGATTTACAATATAGAAACAAGATCTACAATATACAAACAAGATCTACAAAATACAAACAAGACCTCAAATATACATACAAGATCTAAAATACACAAACAATATCTATAGTATACAAATACAACTAAATATACAAACAATATCTAAAATATACAATTTAGAAACAATATTTCCTAATTTTGAAGTAAATATAAGTGAAAAGATGCAACATTGGGAATTGATCCAGCGATCTGAAGAATTTGATGGAGAAATTTAAGGATGTAAATGGTTACCTTTTGTATATCAACATTGCCGACATGGCATCCATTCCACTCAATATATCGTCAATAAGATAAATATCACAATTCTGATAAACAGCCCTAAAAATACAAACCAAAAAACAATTCTAAAATTTCACATCAAAAACAGATCTGTTTTAATGTTAGTAATCTATATTGACAATAATTAGTTGATTGTAATCTATGTTGACTACATTGCAATTGATTGTAATCTATATTAACCACCTAGAATCAGTTTATTGTAATTGATTGTATATATGTTAACTACCCAGAATCAGTCGTTTACTGTAACTGACTCTAATATATATTAACTACATAGAATCAGATTATTATAATTGATTGTAATCCATATCAACTACCTGTAATAAGTTGATTGTAATCTATATTGATTAGCTACAATCAGTTTATTTCAATTGATTGTAATCAGTTGTAATATCCAATATTTAAGATACAATGAACATTTTAAAACCAATACACGACATGAAATCGTGTAATCTGTGGTTTCTAGCACCATTTGTAATGAAAAAAAGGAAGACATATACCACAATACAATGTGGATGTAATTTAAAATGGCTCAATCATAATGACAAATTATTATTTTTTTTTGAATAAAAAAACATACAGAATGGACTAAGCATGTTAAAAATGGAATGTAAATCACTTTTTATACACGTATAATACATTAAAGGAGCTAAATCGCTAACATTTGGGACCTAGAAATTGACACAAGTGGGTCGGAACTCATATAATACTGTAATATGAATGTATATAAACTGATATATATTCAATGGTTTCCGTTTTAACTCTTAATTTCAAATCAGTTATATTCCGCGAAATAAGCCAGCAGTCTCAATCGAATACAAATTTATAGCGCCTGGCTATTCCTGTCTACATACGCCGTTTGGTTTGGTGCAATATTTCTAGCCTCGTTCCTCGAGTCTCTTGCTAGAACTGGTGCTGAAACGCATTATGGTACACGATTCGTGTACCAATGGTAAAATGTTTATTTTGTCTTAAATATTGGATATCAGGAGCCCATCTTTTTCCGGTAAGATCACAGCATCAATGTTGATTTAAATTGACAAATAATTTGTGTTTTCAATGATGAAGATTTCGGATGATATTGAGTTAGAGACTTAGCTACTTTAATGTGTGCTTTTAGACCCATTTTTGTTTATTTAAGGTTCCAAAGAATGAAGGTATTCACACTTTATATCAAACCTTACAAACATTATCTTTAATAATTGATAGTAATCTATATAAACTACCTTGCTAAAGTTATCTTAGCCTGCATGGTATTATCTATAATAACTCCTCGTTCTCCTATTAACGTCAAATCTTTCTGTGGCAGCGTATCAAACAACTAAAAAATACAAAATAATATCAGAAAACAATTTTGTTATGGTTCCATCTAATTTGTAATAAATATGAACTAATCTTTGCTTTATAGTATCCCACATAGAAGTAATAAAGTGGTCCTTTGTTTTATAGTACCCTCCCCACTCCCCAATAAAAACCTGTTCAGTTATTGAATAATAGATATATAACATATGATAGTCCCCCCCCTCTCCCGCTCCCTCTCTCCTAATTAATGAAATGAACCAATTATTTTAAAATTTAAAATAATATTATACTTTAAATAAAACAGATCAATTCAATTGACTCAAACAACTCACCTGTAGTAAGGCACAAGCTTGTAGAACTTGATTATACCGATATCTACCAAACTCTGCACCAAATATAATATTCTCTCGAATAGTTCCTGGAAATAACCATGGCTGACACGGAACATATGCTAGACGACCATGATGGAATAAATGTCCTTTTTGTCTCTCAAGTTCTCCAGTTATACTCATTAACAAACAACTCTATAAAATGAAACACATGCAAATGAATCTTTTCTTCATAAAATGTCTGAAATTTAACTTGTAAGTTTCAACAGATCGTGCTGACCAAGTTTTAAATATTTAAAATAACAGAGCTTGTTCTATCAATGGGGTATTTTTGGTGGTCAAATGGCTTAACACGTGTGTTTTAGATCATAAACTGAAATAAAATTGAACCATATATTCGTCCTAAAACGACCTAGGTTTATGCCGAGTGAATGGTAAACCCCATCCTTCTCTCTCCCTCTCTCGCATGCATTTTAGATCCCCAAGTTGAAATAAAATTGAACCATGCATTAGTCCCGAAATAACCTAGTTTTGTGTCAATAAGTGTGCGGTAAACCCCATCCCTCTCTCTCCCTCTCTCACTTCCACTTTCACTTATGGAAAATTTAATATTACACAGTTTGTCCTATGGATAAGGAAAATTTGATCAACTTTTATAATAAAACAAAGAGATGACACAAACCTTTCCACTTTCAGCTGGTCCTATAACAGCATACAGATTATTCTATTCAAATACAGGAAGAAGAAAATATCAAATTAGGAGAAAATAAAATGATAAAGATAGATTGCCAGGCAATGAAACAAACGCCCACAGCATCCGAGCAGTCAACAAGAGTGTCACATATTTTTTCTGATAAGGGGACCAACCCATTAAAATCATTAGAATTTTTTGGGCTCCTAGTTGTGCCAAGACATATTTATCGTATCTTGAATTTCAAAACTCTGACTGAGACTCAACTCTGACTCAGTAGTTGTGAAAACACACAACTTGAACAATCCAAGGAGTTATGCACATTTTATCATGAGGGTATTCATTGAGTCAAGTGGCGTTGATTCAATCCCAAGCTTGTTGTTTTACTTCAGGCCCTCCTGATACCTCCCACGGCTAAATACCCCTACGAGCAAACAAATTAATGAAAACCCCCTTTCTCTCTCTCTCTCTCCCCCTCTCTGGCATGGTAGCACCAATAATTTTCAACAAATAAATATTGCTTAAGGGAGATAAGAACATAACAATGTGTATTCTAATTCCAATTATTTGTATCTTTATTACCTTTTCTATATCAAGATCTATATTGGATAAAACCATAGCAGCATCAATTCCCTGAAATAAAAACAAGTTCGTAGAAAATGCAACCCGTCGATAGAAATTCACTTGATTTGGTAGTCCTCTGATGTCCAACACAGAATTTTGCTGAGTAGTTCAGATTTGATTGTTCTCTGATGTCTTACATAGAAGTTTGCTGACTAGTTTTGAATCAGAGATCTTATTCGGCTGATTATAGAACGTAAATTTAATGTATATAAATAACATCAAAGTGTGTATGTATGTGTGTATGGTGGTAATCTGAATATTTAAATTTCAGGGTCGCGTCATCCAGATTCTGACTCTAGACTTATTGTTCAACCTAAAACACTTTCGTTTGCCTGTGGGACCATGTTTGTCCAGTGTTTTTGTTCGTTGACATCAATGTTTCATTGTCAGCATTAGGCCTTATGGGACAATTCTTTTCCTTTCATTCTGTGATTCTAAAAGATATCAACCAATTAAACCTACCTTTTCCTTGCTGGCAAAATAATTAGTAAATTTGACAGCAATATTGTCTTGTAGGTCTTGATAATCCACTCTACGTACTGATGAAGAGTTTCTTTCATCCAGTATTAATATTTCCTACAAACAGCGAAAGAAAAATTACAACTGAGAAGTTACTCTACTCTCATCTTATTCCGGTAAATTTGAGAAAACTGACAAATTCTGTGAAAACTGATACTATGATCTGGTTTGTAAGAGCAGGTTTTACTATAGGCCTACACATATATGAAATGAAATGAAATGTGGTTTAACGTCCTACTGTTCTGCTCCGACTGGTCTAATGAAGACGGTCATGCGCCATACGGTGTGCTATGAGGGAAATTTTGCTCGGACAGCGGTGCTATGGCCTACACTATTTCGAATTCCAACTGTCAAGGGTTCTTTTACGTACATGCTAATGTGTAGCCTACACAAGACCTCAGGTTTTTCACACGATGCCAACGACCAGACACCGACAAGGGGAAACCTGAGGAATTTTCTTGGCCCAAACCAGGAGCAAACCCTAGACCTCCAGATTAGCGAGATGGCATCTTACTCACTGACCCATATACCACATACTACAAATACTGTTTAACTATTGTCTCATGGTGGTCCAGTCGATGGTTTGGGTTCGATCCTGGTGTTTACTGAGAAAGTACCCTTAAGATTTTCTAGTTTGGTTTCCCCTCATTAGAGAGAGAAATGGGGTCACACTAGGTCATTTCTGGACAAACATATGGTTCAATTTTATTTCATTAATTCTCAAGCACGTAGGGGTCTTTAACAGTGGGAGGAAACTGGAGGACCCGGAGCAAAACCCACGAGGTTGGACAGGCGATCCTACTCCTTGTCACATACAAGCGAGGGATCAATACCACACCACTTGACTCAATGACAGATCTTACGAACAAATGTGAACACATTAAACCATACGAACATCCAAACCACTCCCCTCATCAGTGGTCTCATATCCACGGCATGCATGTAATAGACCCATGACGTTGGAATTAGATGCAGATTAGGCAAAATGTCCATTATAGCACATGACATATGCCTGTCTTCATTGGTCTGGTTGGTTCACTTCTGACAAGGGGAACCACACTGGAAAACCTGATGAATTTTCTCCGCCAACACATGGATTAAACACTCTCCCTTCTGGTAAGCGAGCCAACATCTTACTCACTGAGCCATCATGGCTCCCACTCGTATATCAACATACAGGTGTATAAAAGGTGTATTTGTACCTGTATTTTATGGATTGTTTTCATGGCATCACTGAAGAATAAAATCCCGGACGGAAGAAGAATACTTAAACTGATGCGTAACGTTTCAAACAACGACATAGCTGTAAAAATCTGCATAGCAACGACCTTTCGACCTGTGACCAGTACTAACATGAAGGTGACAAACATGACCAGTTTTCCGGCCGTCAACGTCAAGGCGCTGTTGAAACTCAATAGCCTCGTTAATTTCTTCATATGTCTTTGCTCCTCGCTAGAAATAAATAAAGAAATTTTCTGATATTAATGTGTTATGATATTTATTTGACCTGAAGGGAGAGGGGAAGAAAGAGAGATGGGGTTTAGCATCCACATGACACAAAAAGGGTCATATCGGGACTAACATATGGTTCAACTGTATTTCAAGAATTCACTTGTGGGCAGGTGTCTTTAGCAGTGGGAGGAAAACGGAGGCCCAGCAGAAAACCCACGAGGTTGGATACTGCGCGAAAAAATTATGGTTTTGAAAGATTACGTAAAAGTCAGCTTGTTTTCAAATTTCAGTTTAAATTTTGGCTTGAAAACACTGGCATTATCTATAGATGTAAAATATCAGATAAGATCCATGTTGATCATACTTCAATTGGTGAAGCCTGAGGCTCTTTCAAAGAGCGTCGACCCCCAAGAACAAGGTTGTCAGATTGTGATTGTATTTTCTTATTTCTGATCCAAATCATGAATCAAAAGCAATTTTTTTTAAAGTAGCAACCAAGATATCTAACAATAATTTATCAAATTAAAATGTGTAAAAATATGCAAGCACACTCTATACATTCTAGGTATAAAAAAGTATGGATGTATTATGAACCATGAACTGAGCATAGCATCATCAGTGCAATCTTGGAATTGTGACATAATATCAAAATTCGAAATTCGTCCATTGTTGCGCAATTGTCCAAGAAACAATCAGTGTCATGCTGATCCTATTGGTTTGATGAAACTAAAGTAAAACTTACTGTCTGGCATTCATGATAATTTTCTCACAGAATTTTTCCCAGCAGCCCATTTTAATCTCATGTATTCCGCTGATCATCAGTTGTAATTTACGTAGACGATGATTGGTGTAGGTATCCGTCTTCTGTCTGCAAGAAAAAGATTACAAAAACATGAAGACAGTTCAAGGACGAATACACAAATATGGAGGCAGTTCAGGGGTGTATCCACTCGCCTTCATCCTTTCTTTTTTTTAGTACAACCCCCTGCACACCTCTGTTATATAGTGTATCCCCCTGTTCCATTGTGCACATCCATGATCTAGAGTGTATCCCCCTGTTCAAGAGTGTGTCCCCCTTGTATTAGAGTACACATGTTGTAATGTATCCCCACTGCCTTGAGTACACAACCATGTACTCAAGTTTTATTAGGCATTTGAAAAAATATCTTGTGCTTGTTGTCACAGGTATCAATTGGCGTACCATAAAATTATTCAGCACATATACTACTAAAACTTAGAGAGAACCTAGCTATAGTTTATTTAAATTAAATTTAGAATTGTTTTGACTAATTTTGAAATATAAAAGACTTACCTCAAAATACGTGAAAGTTTTCCCATCAATATTTGTAACGGAAACAACAATAACAAAACAACAAGTCCCGCCAGACAGACGGGTCCGAGACGTAACCAGTCCCATAATAAATAACTAATAACCAATAACTGTACAGGTGCTATAATAATATATGTAGCAGGTAATACCACCTAAAATATAATAGTCAAAATATTAAGAACCCCTAAAATACAGTACAGTCTAAATGTTAAGAACCCCTAAAATACAGTACAGTCAAAATGTTAAGAACCCCTAAAATACAGTACAGTCTAAATGTTAAGAACCCCTAAAATACAGTACAGTCAAAATGCACATAATGCACAAATGGTTTCATGTTTATCTATATTTTTATGTACTTGTAGTGTATTTAAGTTTTTTGTTGGTAAATATGATTAACTATAGTTATGAACTCCTCTAATAATTAATAACAATTAATTAAGTATGGCTTCACATTATACATTTATATATATGGACCTCCCAGTTTACTATATAGTATTGTGCTTGATAACGATAAGAGGATACTTATCGAAACGTCGTAATTGTGTATAATAAACCATTGATTGTTTTCCAATATAACTGTGTTAGTTCTATTCAGTCAAAATGTTAATACCACCTAAAACCACCTAAACTACAATGCATTTATAATGGTAAGGAATGAATGAAATTGATTTTTTTTTACACCAACCCTGGAAAACAGCGTTTGGGCAAAATTCCCCACATAGCACACTACCCGACTGGTGCAGAAACGTAGGGCATTAAACTACATTTTTATTTCAAGTTATTTCTAAGCTGATATTCAACCATACAGAACGTGTCCCTTCATTAGATCAAACTTACAAAATTGACAAGCCAGGCCCTTCATCTTACACAACTGACAAGCCAGGACCATCATCTTACACGACTAACAAGCCAGGCCCATCATCTTACACAACTGACAAGCCAGGCCCATCATCTTACACAACTGACAAGCCAGGCCCATCATCTTACACAACTGACAAGCCAGGCCCATCATCTTACACAACTGACAAGCCAGGCCCATCATCTTACACAACTGACAAGCCAGGCCCATCATCTTACACAACTGACAAGCCAGGCCCATCATCTTACACAACTGACAAGCCAGGCTCTTCATCTTACACGACTAACAAGCCAGGACCTTCATCTTTCCTGTGTGAGGAAACCTGAGTACCTGGAGTAAACCCACGAGGTTGAGAAGGCGCCACCATCTCCAAGCCACATACGCTCACACCAGGGATCGAAACCACGACCACTTTAAGCCAGAGGTGACCAGCCAGCTAAAGCTTGAAGTGCAATACTCTAAATCACTAGGTCTTCCCAAACCCTCAGAGGATCTTTATTGGCCAATTATCATTATTATGTTAAACCCCATTGTATTTCATTTCTTTTCTCAATGAATGGCTCCCTGCTTTAAAGAAATATCTAATAATATTTGATACAAGAGGGAAAATGATTACCATAGGAAACACATCCATTTCTCTTGTGACCAGGTTCATGATATCTTCCATAATTTTAGGGCTTAAAATATGACTTGATAATTTCATCACCTGAAAAACAAAATGATACAATTTCAGGATTCATTCAACCGATTTTGTTAAAAGTACCTAACTCTTACCCTAACCCAATTCAAGATCATTAATTTGAGGTGACATTAATTTTCTTTAAAGGTATTGACCACATCTACTATATGGTGGGGGGTGTCTTGGGGGGTTGGGGGGTGTCTTTCTTGGAGGGAGGGGGGGGGGGAAATAATTTGCGGAAGTTTGTAATAAGATCCATACATTTTCTAACAGCTTCATCCTTTTAATAGTGGACAATATTTCGTGATTAACAATTTTATTTCAATATTTTGATTGCGTATTGGGGTCTTTAGCAGTGGGAAGACCCAGAGAAACCCAAAGGGTTGTACAGGCAACTCTACTCCTAGTCACATACAATGACATACCTCATGAAATAAAGCACCCTTTAGATCATTCCTCCACTAAATGATAAATTAAATAGTCTAGGTTAACAAAGCTTACCATACGATTAATTAAATAGTCTAGGTTAACAAGCCTTACCTTACGATAAATCAATGATGTAGCTGCCACTCTCATTCGGTATCCATGGTGAAAGAAATTATGATCCAAGAAAATATTGACTAGACACACAATACATAAAAATGTTGCAAATATATAAACATCGGGAAAACGTAACTTGTCTGGTGATTTGGAATCCACATCAAAAATATTTATAAAATATCCCATTAACACAGCCTGTATAACTCGTAAACATTCCTGATAAAAAATAAAACAGTAATCATTAAAGATGGCCACATAAAGCACGGATATACACCTACCCAGATAAATGTCTTGACAGAAGATGATCCGAAAGGAAAACTTGGATGTTGACCAAATTTGATATTTCTGCAAAAGGGGGGATAACTCTGTACCTGACAGTCACAGAGTGCTGAATATTAATAGGGCTTGTCCTCTAATGGCCACAATGCTTCAAGTCAAATTTGAAACAATCTGTTAAAAACTATAGCCTCTACTTTTGTGTTCCTAAGTTTCTTAACCAATAGGGTGGAGGTGAAGTGTCTTGGTTGTGTAGCTCTGGAATGGAATATTGACCCGAATGTTTCCCACCATATTTGAAAGAAATCAGTTACATATTCCTCTACTTTACATGAAATTAGAAAGGGTTCTTTCTTATGCCAAAATGAGCATTCTATAACATTCACAATATTTTGTGAATCTAAAAGTAAATGGAGATAATTCAGGCAAATCATATCTCACCTCAATCATTATTAATAAAATAAAAGCTAGTATTTGTGGTCGATAGCATCTCCATAATGCTGCCATCAGACTTACGCTACCTCCCTTCTTCCATCTGTATAACTCTTTCTCCCATTCCCTGGAAATACAAAACACAACAACATTAATTATACAAAACACAACAACCATGTTGATAGCCTTTCTCCCATTCCCAGTAAACACAAAACACAACAACCATGTTGATAAATTTTCCCCCATTCCCTGTAAATACAAACCACAACAACAATATCAATAGCCATTCTCCCATTCACAAAAATGGGTCTATAAATATACTATCTTTAGCCCCCAAAGATCAAAATAGCAATGAAACATTTTAAAACACCTTTATTTGGACATTTTGTAATAGTACCGTATTCGTAAATCTTTCTTTTGTCTTAAAATTCTCTGCGCAATTAGTTTTTTTCTTTGCCCGCTGCAGGACAACCGTTCAATCACCTTATGCATAATTTTATCATAGTATTCCTGATAACCTCATTTTCAACCAATAAAAAACAAGTTTTCAAACCCGTACAATACGATAACAAACTTGGCTTGTTGCTATCTAGTCAACGCAACTCCTTCGCTGATTGGCCCAGATACCCCGCGCAAGATTTGAAGATTTCAGTGCATTCCATGCATTTGCACCTAACTGCAGAGTACTTTCACAACTAACTTTTTCCACTCTAAAACGTTAAACAGTCACCCGGTAAATAGTAAAATAAAATCTTGTAATGAGTTATTTCCACAGTTAAAAGCATTTGTTTATAGTTATCTATTCACAACAGAACACAAGACAAGGTGTACACTGCTATAAATACTCTCTATTTTTTAATAATAAATTAACTTTTGTAACAAATATAGGTCACATTTTCCAGTTAATGACTACAGTTGACATTACTTTAAATTCATACACTGATTAGCCTAGATTTTATTTAATGTTCTTCAAAAATATATAACATTCTGGACTTTTCAAAAATGGGGCTCACGCACTGTCGAAATCCTATAAAGTGACATAAGCCACAATGGAGTAACAATTATACAGTGAAAATGCCAATAATTGCCATTTCGGCGGCCATTTTGAAAAACAAGATTGTGGATATAGTCGGATCAACCCTTATTCTCTGACATTCGTATTCGACAGTACGCCTAAAAACCTATAAAATGACATTTTGCACAAAACAGTTACAAATATACGATGAAAACACAAAAATTGCCATTTAGGTTGCCATTTTGCAAAAATAAAATGATGGATCTATTGTCGGATTGAATCCTAATACTGCAATTTCGTATTCGGTACCCCTAAAAATCTATAACATGACATTAATAAACACATAAATTTATCACTTTGCCAGCCATTTAGAAAAAAAGATGGCAGATATTGTCGGATTGACATTATACTACAACTTAATTTCAGCACCCCTGAAAACATGTAGAAAGAAATATTAAACGACTAAATAACAAATAAATGGTATGGTTGCTTTGTGATTTTGTTTTGGAACATACCAACAACCTTGACTTACTTTTTCTCAAAATTTACTTTCATGCCTTGGGCAACTTCAAGTGGATATAGCTCAGTCAATTTTTGCCTGATTCAAACAAACCATCCATCATTTCAAAGGTATTGAGATGGAGAACGTAAAAATAATAATAAACCATACACCATTTTAAAGGTATTGAGATGGAGAATGTAAATATAACAATATCTCAATTTTCAGAATTTCCCCATTGTGTCATAAATACAAAACACAACAACAGTGGGGACTAACACATAGTACAATATTATCAGTGGAAAAAAAGAGAGTGAGAAATGGGGATAACGTCCACTCAACACAAACTATGTCATTTCAATACTAACTCATTGTTCAATTTTATTTCAATAATTTGCTTGCGTGTAGGGGTCTTTAGCAGTGGGAGGAAACCGAAGGACCCGGAGTAAACGTTCGACCTTACTCCTTGTCACATACAACTGGGGAATCGAAACCCTGCCAGTTGACTCAATGACAGACCTTATGATACAGCGCGCACATGCTAACCATTCCGCCACCCAACCCTCCTCAGTGGGAAAAAACCTGAGCATTTGAGAAAAATCCACAAGGTTGAATGTGTGACTCTCCTCCTTGTCACACACATCCATGGGATAAAAACCCCGACTTGACTCATTGACAGATCTTATGATCTAAAGTACAGATGTTAGACCACTCGACCACCCTATCACACCTGCTAATGTAAAATGTTTCAGCATACCACAAATTTTTACACTGGACCACCATTATCCACCCAAATTCTCTTCCATCCCTGAAAAGTGGGAACCAGCGACAGAAGGATCTTACCTGCCAAGATTATTGGATAATTTAACGGTTGAATCTTGCGGTAATACATCGTACACGTCTGCTTCATCTAGGGTATGATGATATCCTTTCCAAAATATTCGACCAGTCCACCTACAAAATACAACAATAATTATTCTCTATCAATACAGTTAAGAGATTGGAAGCTATTATATTGAGACCAGTCCACCTACAAAATACAACAATAATTATCCTCTATCAATACAGTTAACAGATTGGAAGCTATTATATTGAGACTAAGTGTAGCCTTACGTCTCTCATGATGTGATGCAGAGACCACATCATCATCCCCAAACGTCTACTCCTCAAACCCCCTGTTCTGGATCACCATATCGAGCCTCAGTCCTTTGATCTTGTTGTTGTCATGTATGGTTACATGATTTGTTGTTTTAAATTTTCTATATATATATTTGCCTCACAATTTGTTTTACTGGGGAAAAAAATAGGGACTTACACAAACATATTATAATATTGATAGTGTATTAAAATCTGTATAATAATTCTGAATAATATGTATTTAAATGAATGTATTTAAATGAATGTATTTAAATAAATAAATTTAATACTGTTTTATATTATGTATTTTGGCATTTTATTTATCTTATATAAATACTTGAAAAATACTGAGGAACAGGCTACGCCTTTATTACTTCTCTACCAGAGTTGAGTTTAGTGTGTTTGTCTTTTCTTGTTAGAACAATAACTTATATAAATTTGTAGTATTGCCATTGGACAGATAGCGATAGTCTATCATTAAATGGGTCTTGAGAATTCCTCAAACTCCTATGAAAAGCTATGCAAAAGCGTATTGTTGAATTAACATTGTACCATATGTCAGTTGCAAAATGACCCAGTTTGTGTTGAGTGGACATTAAACCCTATTATATAACTTTTCACTAAAAGAATGACACCACCTCTTCACATTTAACTTAGCCAAAATTGAAATAGCATAACTATTTAAATGAAATGGGGGTTAATGTCCTACAGATCTGAACCAAAAGACTATTTAAAAAAAGAGGTTAGTAAAAATAATTAGGCCATACAGCCATTTCCAGTGACAATCAATTCATTATTTATTTTGTGGTCAGACCAGTTTAAAAACATCATCATGTATCGGACAGGATATATACTTGTTGATATATATTCCAGATGTACTACTGTCCAATTAGCTCCATAACAACCATTTAATATGAAATGAAATGGAATGGGGTTAACAGCCTACTTTTCTGCACCAACTGGGCTAATATGAAGATGGGTATACTGTTTGCTGGGGTTAACAGCCTTCTATTGTGCACAGACTTGGCTATTGAGGATGGGTATACACAGTACAGTGTGATATGAGGGAAATTTTTGACCGGAGAGCGATACTATAGCTTACTCTTATTTCAAATTCAACTATCAAGGATTCTTTTATGTGCACCTTCATGTGTACATGGGATCTTGGTTGAGCACTAGACACTGTTCATTGTCAGGGGCACCACTGGCTTGATCCACTAACAAGGAGAATCCATGTTGAAAATCCAGAGGAACTTTCTCAGCCAACAAGGGGAGCAAACCCAGGACCTACTATGGCTCCCATATTTAATATGAGATGCACATAGTAGAGTATGGTTACTCTTATAGAACATCTTATATCACTTGGAACAGTCTATAAGATCCAGGGAAGTTTACTCTTCCCAGAACATCTGATACCACCACTTATTAGAAGGGGGGGGATGGCCGAATGGTTAGCGCATGCTTGCTGTATCATAAGGTCTGTCATTATGTCAGCTGGCATGGTTTTGATACCCTGGTTGTGCGTGACAAGGAATAGGGTCGCTTCTCCAGGTCCTCCAGTTTCCTCCCACTACTAAAGACCCCTACGCGCAAGCGAATTATTGAAATAAAATTAAACCATATGTTAGTCCCAAAATGACCTAGTTTGTGTCAAGTGAATGTTAAACTCCATCTCTCTCTCTCTTTCTTCTTATTAGAGAAGTTCACACACATTGTTTGTTGTACAAAGACTTTTGTAATGTAAACAAGATGATTAATTCATCGAAAATCTTCAATGTTGTATATACCAAACATTTAGTTAAATTTGTTTCCACAGAAACACAATTATCAAATTCAAGAAATTTTTAATTATCCAATGAACAAATTGAATGTCAACACAATATTTTAATCTTATTTAGACTATCACCTGTAATCAACACAAAAAACATAGTCTTTAACATCCAGCACCCTTGAATACTAAATTAACAAGATTTAATTTCCTAACAAGTGATAATGTCTCTTTAAATTTAAAAAGCAGTGAACACAAGTCCTATTGTAAGTCTGGTTGATGATAACCATTTGTCTGTAATGGGCGAGTGTGTGTGTGTTGCTTTATATGTTTAAGTCTGTCACAAACTCCAGAGGGTTTCCCTGGGTTCTCCTGTTTCCTAATCTGATTAAAACACAGATCCTATTTCGTTTTGTTTTTTAATAGTTCAAAATTTCGTTTTACTTCTCTTCACTACATGTACACTAGGATCTGGAAGAGTTGTTATATAAGCCGCGCTCTGGTTAATGTGAGGGATTAGCCAATGAAGCGGTCTGTTATGGCGAGTTCTTGGCGTACGCGACCTATCACTATAACCAGTCAAATCTTCATGTAGTGTAGGCCATCGAAAGTATAAAGTGGAGCGGAGTTAATACCCATTCCTCACCCTCTCTCTGCGTGATTCTCCCTTGTGAGTGGTGCATGACAGAGGGCCCAGCAATGAACAATGTACAGTCATTTTGACGGTATGAAATATTGTGACCCCATGTGCACAGTGGCTTGCACATAAAAGATCCCTTGGCAGTTGGAATTCGAAATAAGAGTGGGCAAAGTTTCCCTCATAGCACACTGTCAATCTGTTTCACAGAGAATTACGAGTCTCGTATAATATCTCTGTCATAGATGACTGCCTTAACACATGCTGTCACAGCACGCGGTGTGAATCATTGGCTGAATGGCGCGTGCATTGTTTACATAAGACATAACTGCTTCGGAGAGAATGCTGCATTTTAGTCAATTTAATACCCATTTACACTAAATCGGAAATAATTTTTACCTACAAATACGTCAAACGCCTTTATTTATTTCTCCAATATATACAAAAAATGTTTTAGAATTTAATTTGTCGCAGGAAAAAAGTTAATATTTCTAGCTCATTAAGCCGCATTAATGTCATCCTTATCAGTGATTGTGGCGGCCAAGCAAATATTCACTGCGGATCAGTGTGGCACACTGTATGGTGTATGCCTGTCATCATTAGCCCAGTCAGTGCTGAACAGTAGGACCTCAAACCCCATTTCATTTAATTTCTCTCCCTCCTCTGTGTCTCTCTTCCTATCTGTATCTCTCTCAACACCCCTCCCCACACCTGTCCTCTCTGTCTCTCTAGGTGAGAAAGTAACAGTGATACAAGTATTTATCTCGGATGTGTTATATAATGAAAAGACGAGCCACGATCATGTTACACTTGTCGCGGTTTTCATCAAACAAACCACCAGAATTAATCAACATCGTGCAGTCGCCTGTTTACAAACATTTATACTTAATTCCTCGTTAAACACTGTACCCTTTAAACTAGCGGAAGTCATTCATCTTCAAATATTTCTACAGGTTCATATTCACCATGCCACAGTCATTAAACTTTCTTTTATCTGGTAAATACAAGAACCAAGAAGAGATAGTCTAGCACTGTAAACCATTGACCCCCATCTCTTTCCCCTTTCGTCATTCTCCATGATGCAGTAGATAATGGATATGATGATATTTCAACAGATCAGATTTTATTCTCCCCACCCAACCAACCCTTTTATTTATCTCCCCATTTTCAAAAATATAGTATATGGTCCCTCATCCAACCCTCCATTTACCTCCACCTTTTAACTATTCCTTCCCAACACCTCCATTCATCTGTCCCCCTACCCAATCCTGATCCATTCATCAGTCCCCATACCCGATCCTCATCCAACTCCTCCATTCATCTGTTCCCCTACCCAATCCCCATCCAACCCTCCCATTAACCTGTCTCCTTACTCAATCCCCACCCCACCCTCCTATTCATCTGTCCCCTACCCAAGCCTCATCCAACTCATAAATAAGAGAAGTTGTATCAGATGTTCTAGAAAGTGTAAGCATACCCTGCCTCTGGCACAATCTCAATTACAAATGGACCAACCAGAGAAGACATAAACACCTAGTATTATCTTAACCAATCACAATTGGACAAGAAGATATGATACGAACACCAAACACCAAGAACAAAGTCACTTTTACTATGAAACATCATCATTATTTACAGATCAAAATGTTCTAATGATAGACTGAGGAAAGAGACGGAGGAAAGAAATCATGAGCATGAGAGAGGAAAGGCGATTGGTAATGCGGCAAGAGGTGTATAGATCAAAGATTTATATGCTTTTCATGAAAACATAGCATCTTTTCAAAGTTTGAGAGTAGTCTGCCAATACCCCACAAAAAGTGCTCTGCAACCCCTAGCGACCTACAGGTTGGGAATCAAGGATCTAAACCAATCACAATTGGACAAGAAGATATGACATGAACACCATGTATTATCTTATCCAATCACAATGTCTCAACTAAGATTTCAAAGAAAACATACAACTGCTAAGTATACTGTGTGAATGTGAAACAGGTATTTCAGTTCCATAGTTTTTGTCCCCTGGTCAGTTTTTCAAGTATTTTGTTTACCTTGTCATTTTATTGACCATAAACAGGCATGTTATTATATTGACTTTAAACAGGCATGTCAGTTTTTCCAAGGAATATGGTGGCCAATTTTTGTAGCACTTTTCGATTTATAAATCAATCTTAAGAGTTTTTAACCATATTTGTGTTCAAGTGTTTTTAGACGTATTTGTGTTCAAGTGTTTTTAGACGTATTTGTGTTTTAAGTGTTTTTAGACGTATTTGTGTTTTAAGGTTAAATTTTATGTCATGAGAAGTAAATACCACAACTAGTCACTTGCACCAGTTTGGTCCATCATACACACTGTGTTGGGAGCTACGACGACTCAGTGAGTAAGACCTCGTCTAGCTAAACTGGAGGTCCTGAGTTTCAATCCCTGTGTTGTCTCAGAAAGTTCATCAGGATTTCCCAGGGTGGTTCCTTCTTGTCAGGGACAGCTGTCTAGTCATTTGGGTGGGGCAAAAACCAAGGTTCCGTGTACACATTGGTTTGCACGTAAAAGAACCCCTGACAGAGTGGGCTGTTCGAGCAAAATTACCCTCATAGAACACTGGATGTTGTATGCACGTCTTCATTAGCCCTGTCTGTGCAGATCAGTAGGATGTTTAACTACATTTTATTTCATTATAATATTAATTATTCATTCATTATAATATTAATTATTCATTCATTATAATATTAATTATTCATTCATGAATATTCAACTTCAATTCTAACACTGTCATTGGTGATGTGTTTTTCTAGTGCATCAATTTTCAAACACAGAGAGAGAAATGGTGATTAACCTCCACTCAACACAGACTAGGTAATTTCAGGACTAACATGTGGTTCAATAATTCACATAGGGGTCTTACCTGTGGGGGGAAACAGCCACAAGGTTGGACAGACAGTCCTACTCCTTATCACATATAAGCTGGCAATTGAAACCACGCTACTTGAATTAATGACAGACCTTATGATCTAAAGCACCAATTTTCAAACATATTAAATTAAATTTTGTTTTAATTATTTGCACTTTTCGGCTTAATCCAAATTAATTATTTAACATTTAATTAAAAAAAACAAAATCCTCTCAGCTTTGATTCAATACCCTTAAAAAGAGGCTGATCAAAATATTTCAGCAAAATTCATTATGTTGAGTATATCCTCTGCAGTTGATGCCGAGTGTTGACAAATTTTCAATTGATAAACCTGATTGGTATTGATAGCTCTTTATATAGAGATTAAACTTTGATGATATGCTTGCAAGTATTAACGATCCCTTATATGATTATCAGAGACTTTAGATATAGGGAGATGTAGGTTGGGGGCAGGAAGAGAAGAAGGGGGAGGTAAATCAGGGTTTAAAGTCTACTATTCTGCACTGACTGGGCTTACGAAGACAGGCTTAGAGTATACAATGTGCTATGAAGGAATTGTTCCTGGACTGCAGCCGATTCAAACCCCAACAGCCTGGCTAGTGAACCAGCGCCTTAGTCTCTGAAAATATGTGGCTCCCAAAATCTGGTTACCCGACAACTACATTACCAGCAAAGATTCTAATGCAGTGGCATACTAGAGTATGTTTCTTGCCTGCCACTCCCCGAGAAAACCAATACACAGAGAGAGAAATGGGGCTTAACGTCTATTCAACACAAACCAAGTCATTTCGGCACTAACATGGCATTATTTTATTGCATGTGGGGGTCTTCAGATAGGGCAATATACTGGAGGACCCGCAGAATGCCTACAATTTTGGGAACACAAACCTACTCCTGGTCTCGTACAAGCTTGGTATCAAATCTACACAATTCAACTCTACGACAAACCTTATGATCTAAAGTACATGTGCTAGACTACTCGCCCACCCCAACCCCTCAACATCGTTGATCTGTTAAACTAAAATCTTTCTTGGTCTTAAAGTTTAAAGATTCAGGCCCTGTTTTTCGAAATCTTAACTAAAGATAAAATCCAAATTTTAGTTTATACTTCAATTTTGATTGGCTAAGCACTAAAATCAATCTAATATTATCCAATAAAATTACTAAAATTTGGATTTTGTCTTAGTTAAAATTTCGTGAAACAGGCCCAAGGACATATATAATTTCTACAATTGGTGATCAACTAAATAAAGGTAGGGAATTTGTTATGACCTAGTAATATTTGACCTTTAGAGCATCCACAAGCAGACCAAGGAACAGCGTTCAAATTCTCAATAAATAGATTTCTTGGACTTTTTTGATGAAATCTAATTTTCACTGCTTTATCCAAATTGATTAATTAACATAAATATCCATGGTACACATAGTACACAATCTTCTGGAACAAATTTACGTTGTCTGCTACTTGAGTTATTAATTACACCGGACAATTATATAGGTGAATCATTCTCGTTAAAAATAACCCTATCCAGGTGTCATTATTTACCTTTAAACAGGTAAGAAATGTCAAAGGTCATAGGTCATGCTATACAGGTAAATTACATACAGGTACAATGTCAATTTGACATCAGAAACTTAAAACTGAAATTTTCCACAGAAAACTTAATTTTGAATAATTTTAAGGAATAGATTAGAACAATGCTTAAAATCTTTTGACGTTAATTTCTATAGAAACGAATATGCTTATTATTTGTAAGTCATCTATAATCAATGGTTATAGCTTTAACTCAAAGAGGTAATAATATATTATGTCAGCAAGAATGAGGTATTATCATTAATCAGCCTTTTCAAATCATACTAATTATTGAATATGCAGAGTTTGCAAATTTCTTGAATAATATCCATTATTTATCTCTCTATAACTTGACTTACTGGTAACACACATTACATGTATTTTTGATCATAGGTGTAGGAGCCATGGGGGTGGGCTATAGATTCTGTGAACCATCCATTTTTCGGCCACAAACATCAGAGAATGAGAGAACTATGAGACTATATATCATAGAAATATAATCATATAAGGATTGATTCATTCTGATAATTTGGGTGACGAAGAAAATTTTTGGGCAAATAGCCTCACTGAGATTGGCCCCCTATGCCTATGATTTAAGATCTGAGAGTTTTGAAATGCTGTAAGATAATTAGATGAATGAAATATACTGTATACCTGTACATCTATATAATGACACAAATACTGAATGTATCCTTGCTAATCCTCAATAATACTCTTCCTTTATAATTCCTTTACACCACAAATCTTTACCCATCAACACTATGGAACACACTCGGAAATTATCGTAGGCCGAAAAGTACAGATTAATACTGACTATGATGTTCTAATGGTGCTGATTATCGTGAAAACTATTTTTCTTCTTATTCTACACCCCCGAAAAGTATAGGTATCTCAGTGCAGATATACTTTGCAGCTCAATCCTGGACTATCGATCATCGAGGCTTTAAGGCGTAAAATTGTGTTGATTATCATGAAAATTCCTGATATTATGAACCATCTGTATCCACCATCAAAATATTTATCAATATTTGTCTTGAATTAAAAACACATTTCAGACATCTCCCATCAGTCAAAAGACACAAGAAAGATTATTTTTGTTCAAAGTTGCTAAAATTAAAATCACTAAAAGTTAAACTCATTCTTTATAGAGTAATATTCAAAATTAAAATCGGTAATTAATCATGTACTCATATATCCATTAGACATTTCAAATTCTGGATAACTGTATTTATGGCAATTAATCATCCACTCATATATCCATTAGACAATCGTCAAGTTTATACGGCATTTAAAATTCTCAATAACTGTATATATTCGTTTAAAAATTTAAAACCTATTAAAGGTACTCCACAACACTTCTAACTGATCCCCACTATTTCTTCCTCACTGCTTCGTTTACCTCATGTGAACAATCGTCAAGGCTACACGTCATTTAAAATTCTCGATAACTGTATTTATTCGTGTAAAAAACTTTAAAACTATTAAAAGTACTCCACACAACTTTTACCCGATCCCGTCTATTTCTTCCTCACTGCTTCGTTTACCTCATGTTAAATTTGTTTTCTAGCCGTGTCCAACAGCAGCCAGTAAAACAAACACTGTCTTCTCTCATCCGACAGGTATTTCTACTTTCAAACTTAATCTAGTTTAAAATGCATCTTTTTTCTCCCCGAGGTTGGTATGTCACTGTTGATCTTTGCCTCGAGACTCGTCTAAGTTTTATTCATGATTAGAGTAGTTAACATACTTCTGCATTTAATAGTCAACAAAATTCTTGATTTTACACAGCATGGGTTTAATCTGTAGAACTTTAGCATTGCCCGGGGAGGAAGGTTTTAAAATAATTGTGGTTAAGATTATTAGTAAATCAGGAAGCCCATTTCTTATTTTTAACGAACCCTTTAATCTCAATCAAATGGCATTTGGCAGTTTTGACAATTGGGTAAAATTGGTCTAAAGATTATTTTTAAATGTGTTTACTATTCAAAATCAAATGGCATTTGGCGGTTTTGACGATTATTTTTAAATATGTTACTATTTAAAATCAATTTTAAAAATAATGTCTCTTTAAAAACGAATTCTCACTCATGTAAACCATAAAATTCATCTTATTGACAGAATAATGTTGCTGGGGAAAATTATTAACATTTTATTTTATTTCAAATGAGCAAATAAAATGAAAACTGGTGCAACCCCAAAAACTAATATTACCTTTCAAACAATTCTCTGTATTTATTTACAGGCAGGACACTAAATTTGTCTTTTTTTACTTTTAAATAAATTTGCACAGGTTAAAGTATAGATTGAAGGAACATATGACAAATTCTTTTCTTGTTTAAACATATATTGTCAAACATTACAACAGTTTCTATACAATATAAACATTGTGAAATAAAATAAAATAGGGTTTAACTGCTCTGAATGGGCTAATGAAGACGGGCATACGCCTTGCAGTGTACTATTAGGGAAATTTTGCCCGGGCAGCGGCACTACAGCCTACTCTTATACTGAATTCGAATTGCGAAGGGTTCTTTTATGTGCACAACAATGAATACACTGGACCTCAGTTTTCATTCCATCTGAATGACTATACACTGTCCATTGCCACGCCCTTTTTCCTGCACCACTGACAAGGGGGAACACCCCAGAAAATCCTGATGAACAGTCTTGGTCGACACAAGGATCGAACATGGAACCTCTGAGCCTGTCACATTGTGAACTGTCCATGCCTCAAACACTTTATTTCAGAGAGAGAGAGAGAGAAATGGGGTTTAAGGTCTACTCGACTCTTGGGATTTGTTGTGACCGACATAATCGTTTCAATAAAACACTCATCACCCTTTTCCCTTTTTTTTTTCAGATAGGGAGAGAGAAATGGGGTTTAACAGCTACTCGACACAAACATATGATTCAATTTTATTTTATTTAGCAGTAGCAGGATATAGAGGATGGACAGGCGACTCTATTTCAGCAGGTACTCTACTCAATCAGGGAATCGAAACCACGCCACTTGACTCAACGACAGACCTTGTGATTTCACACGCACCCTTTAAACCACTAGACCACCCATCCTCCCCTCCCTTTATTTAAGATCGGAGCCACAGTGACTTTATGAGTAAGTTTGAACTGTAATAGTACACAAAACAAAACCGATAAAACAAACCTGCAGACGACACAAAATACACAGACATTGCAAGAAATAAACAACAAATATCAATTCAAGTGAATAAAAAAACATACTTACCCACAATTCAAAATATTGTTCATCCTTTTATTATCTATTATTTACTCAATAAATCAGTTTTTATCAACTCTACCCCAAAATATATAGTCTCCTATAACACCTCATAACACTTCTTTTCAATAAAGCAGTTTATTATCCACAGTAAAAAATTTATTCCAAATCTATATCCTTCTAAACCACCTCTAAACACTTCAATAAAGCAGTTTATTATCCAAAATCAAAAATTAATTCCAAATCTATATCCTTCTAAACCACCTCATAACACTTCTCTTCCATAAATCTGGTTATGGGCCACAATCCAATACTAAATACACCAGACATTAAAAACACAGTATAGTACTTCTCATTTCCATGTGGAATTCACAATATGGGTTTATTGGTAGTTCACAGAATTATTTATGCAATTTATTAACTTGTCACAAATTGACTTCATATTTCACAAAATAAAAAGTTTGACTCTGCCTAGAACAACCTGTTGGTTTCAAACGAGCTTCGTCAAGTTGCAGTCATTAACGATTATTTGCGGTCACAAATAAACTGTCTATAAGAAAACAAGACGAAGAAAATGCAAGCAACCATAAAACCCCAAACAGTGCTGTTACCACTGGATAAAAATAAAACGTCTTTCTATCAAGATTAAAAATTAATACAAGAAATTTTAAACAAGACACAAGATTGTCATAATACACTCCCAAGAAGAAAAAAAAATTGTTAGGTTCAGTCCAGGTTTCTATTAAAACAAGACACAAGATTGTCGTATGTATATAAACTCCAGCAATTGTTAAATTCCATCCAGGTTTCTGTTTTAATTCACATTTAAACCTTGCGAAATACTTTCTCATTAAATAGTTTAATCCCAGCACGAATTCAAATCAAGACAATAAAAACTTGTTCAAATCTATGTGATCCACATCAAGCAGTTGATCTAAGATATATTCACATTAGATGATTTTTTATCAATCCGAGGAACTGATTTCTCTGTTTTTCACCCCTTATGTGTGTAAAAATGAAAAAGTTTTGAATACAATCGAAAGACGGCCAAAACAGAAATTCAAATACACACAAGGACACACAACTTTAAATATTCAGTTGGGTTTTATTCTTGTCAGTCCTAGTAAGTTATCTCTTTGGTTTTTTACTCCTATGCAAGTTTGTAAAAAGGGAAAAGTTTCAAATACAATCCTTCAAATTAACACAATAAAAACTTATCCAATTCTACATGACATGTCTCAACTTAACATCTTCAAATGAGTTTTCATCTCTCTGTACAGGTGTGTAAAAATGAGAAAGTTTCGAATCCAACAAATGTCGTCTAAAATAGAATTCTAAACATTTGAATCATCTTGGCACCCGTTCCATATATTTTAAAGTGTTGAGTGACGTTAAGAAGTTTCTTGTCAAGAAAGGAAATTTACAAACGGTGAACTACGATACACTTCCTCGAAATGGTATTAAATAGATTACGCAGACTAACAGATTAGGAAGTTAATCTGTAGGAAACTAGTATCTTTAGACTGGTTACATCCGAGAGATCGAGACAGCTTCCGATTTAACAAATAAACAGTCTGTTTGATTTGACAACGGTTCAAAAACCTTCATTTTTTTCATTTATAAAAAGTTACCTATAAGCTAGTTCTTTCACCAACGATTTAATCTTTACCCAACAATCAACGTTCGATACATTGTAGTTCTAAATTATTTTAAAACATGAAATTTATATCACAAGTGGGTTGAGGTTGGGGGGGGGGGGAGTTTTGACCAGATGACAGAATACTGACTGCTCTTATTTTGAATTCAAATACTGTGTTCTGGCCCACTAACAAGGGTTGGGGTACCAGCAGAGGTGGGAACAAGTTGCAGGACCTCAAGTCCAAGTCGCTGAACGTCGAGTCAGAGCCAAGTCTCAAGTCACTGACTTTAGTAGCGAGTCCAGTCGAGTCCCAAATCTTTCCAAAGCCGGAGTCCTGTTCAAGTCGCCAGTTCATCAAATGAGTCAGCAATTAATGGTAAATAAGGTAAGTTAGTGTTATGCCCCCACTCCCCGCAACTCGAGTCTCAAGTATTTAAAGTCGTGTCGCAAGTAGGGTCATTGATGCGACTTAATTCGGACTCAAGTCTGCATTGCGGATCTCAAGTTCCAACCTCTGGGTACCAGGCCAGAAAATTCTGAGGAAGTTTCTCGGTTAACACAGTGCCTTTCTCACAGACCATTATGTTTCCCACCAAGAAGAAGACCTAGGTCTATTTTATGTTGAACATGTCAAATTGTGGAGTAAATTAGGTGACTTTGTTTTATAGTCGACAGGAGACTTGAACTAAAACTCTTCACGTAGAATAAATAAAACCACTCAACGTCTGCATATATCAGAGAGTCTGTCTGCTATTTACTATAAGCACATCATACACTTGTCAAGATGTAAAATGTCAATCTAACACGGCCGAGAAAGGGAGACCAAGTAGAAATTTAAATAAACACATTTTGTGCCAGTTTATTTCAAAACCTTGAACACTATTAAAACTCTTTAGAGACTTGATTTGACATTTCTTTCTTCTAACTTTCGGTGTGCACGTTTGTCTTGAGGTCTGGGATCTTGCCTCAGCGTCCCTCAAAGTTTGTCTAAGTTTGTCACCTCGTGTTATCTAATTTTCAGTTTCTGCTATGTGTGGAGCTTAGTGTATTATAATTTGAGTTCATGTATTATAATATGAGTTCAATTTGAGTCCATATGTTATAAATCCAGTTGGTGTATTATTATTTGTGTTAATGTCTTATAATTCAAGTTCATTTTTTATAATTTGTGTTCATGTCTTATAATTCGAGTTCATGTATTATAAATTTAGATCAATTTGAGTTCATAGTTATACATTGTATTCATGTATCTTTATTTGAGTTAATGTATCTTAATTTGAGTCTATTTTGTTTCCATGTGCTATAATTTAAATTCATGTATTATAGATTAAGTTCATTGATAATAATTTGAGTTCATTGATTATATAAGTTGAGTTCAATTTGATTTCATATATCATAAATAATGTTCATATATTATAATGGGAGTTCGTATTATAATTCACATTCAATTTGAGTTCATGTATAATAAATTGTGTTCATATGTTATAATTTGCATTCATTTATTATAATTTGGATTCATGTATTACAATTGAGTTCATATGTTTTAATTTGTGTGCATGTATTATAGTTTGTGCGCATGTTTATAATTTGAGTTCATATATTATAATTTGTGTGCATGTATTATAATTTGATTTCATATATTACAATTTGATTTCATATATTACAATTTGATTTCATGTGTTACAATTTGAGTTCATATATCATAATCTGAGTTCATATGT